CACAGGGGCAGAAAGAAGTGCAGCTGGTTAATCTTTTACTAAACACTCTGGTAATTTATTATGTGGCAGTCGGTGGTAGAAAAAAATGATTCGGGAGTCATAACATGAGCCACCATTTGGCAGACCAATGGAAATGAACCACAACTACTAACTAAAGTACTCTTTCATACGTAAAATACACAGAAGCATCTGAGTTACTACAAATAAAAAGTATTTGTAGTAACTATTGTCTCGATGTGTAGTTTCAGTCATGAGAATGTGAGACTTTCTTGTGTGGCTCTACTGTGCACACAGTATAAAAACAAACAAAGAGTTTCATTAAAAGATACAATCGTATCTTGTGTAGCTGCTGTTGCGACAGCTAACGTCCAAAGCTCTGTCTACAGATCAAGTCAGGGTTGGATTCCAGTCTGTGGATCACTCAGCTCATGTATCAGGATAATGAATGGACTGTTTGAAGAGTCTAACGTGATTCAATCCAATATAACTGCATGTTTTTGACACTTTTCCCAATTAAATGCAATAGTTTATCATGGGAATTGATCCATTATGAAATAAACCAAGGACACATTTTAACAAGGCCCTGTGGACCAAGGACAGAAATCAATATTGGGGCAGACTCTGCAGACCAACTCAAACGATTTTTTATGGGTTTGTCTACACAATTTACAGACAGACTGATCACCTGAACAGATCTTAAGCCATGTTCTGAATATATTTACAACTTTTATATCTTTATAAGTGCTCTTTGATCCACCAGAGTTCTACCTCCATAACATACTCCCCACTGACTTCTTTATGATGATTTGAGAGGCTGAAACACTCTGCAGCCTCTTGCAACCTTTTAGTCTACTACAAACTGGAAGATTAAAAAAAAGAAACTTCCTGCTCTGTGGAAACTGCATAAAGTAGAAGCGAGCAAGGTTAACAAACATACACACAAAGAGAGACACACACAAACACTGACAGGTGCATGCCAGGAAGTTCAGCAATGCAAGAGACAGAGGAAAGAAGTAAAACATTTACCAAGTGTCGTGATTAATTTACTCTTCTGAAACGTCAGCACATGACACTAGGCATGAAACTTCACGGAATGTCACTAAAAACCTGACCAGTCTGTAAGAGTATTTAACCTTTAACATGTGTCGTTGGAAAAAAACAATTTCTATAGGTTTTATCTGAACTAAACATAGACAAATGAGCAGTATAGCTATTCCTAATCCCAAACTAGCTTACTGGAGCAATTTAGTGATTGAACATACAACCTGCTGTGATAACCCCCCCCCCCAAAAAAAAACAACTATGTCGTTTCATAGTGTAGGTGTTAGCACGGCTGCCTTGCAAGCAAAAAGCAGAGAGTCTTGGGTTTCGATTCCCAGAGGGACCACCTAACGACACCTCCCCCACCTGTAAGTCGCTTTGGATAAAAGTGTCTGCTCAAGGCATAAATGTAAAGGTATAATTGTACAAACCACAAGTATTTTTATTGTACACTGCAGATAGAATAGAATCTGATTGATGGTTTACAAATTTTTGTGCACCTTTGTTGACTAAAGTATTGTATTGATGGCATCACACAACTGCCAAGAAAGACTCGTCACTCTGAAGAATCACTTTCAACTTGTTCTGTTATCAGGAGATTCGGGGCGACGTGGTACGATTACTAGAAGCTTCTGGAGTCAGACGGTAGTCTTAACGCTGCGCCCATCACTTTAAAGTTATCAAAACTGTTTCCTGATGATACAAACAGTATGACAGCTGCAGAGAAAAATTTCTGTGCTTATTTTAAAAAAAGTAAACACATTTTTTGGTGAGTGGGAGAAAGCTTAAAAAAAACAAAAACTCAAAGGTCCATTTTGGAAAGTTGCACTAAGTCAACATTGCACTAATATCAAAAATACTCCCTAAAACAAAAAGGTCAGGAGGTTGAAATGATGCCATGTTTGGTTTAAATACACCACCAGAAATGTTCAACAGCCAATTTGACTGAAACTTTTTTATATGTTGATAATTTTTTTTTAATTTCATTAAAAAAATAGCAACTAAGAAGCTAAATTTGCTACCGAGGCTAAAGATTATCTTTAGTACGGACTAGGGATGGCTCGATACAACTTTTTCATGTCCGACAGCAATACCGCAACTTGAAGTGTCAATCAGATAGATTATTTTCTCTTCCAGCATGCCGTGGGCTGTTGCTGCTGAGGCGATAGTGTCTCTGTTTATTTCATGGAGCACAAAGTTAAGTTTTTTTCGATGTTGCATCCTTAAATTTTGACCATTATCAGACCAATAGCAGTCCTGACTAGTGGATCAAGCCGTCCCTAGTATGGACTGTGTTGTTATATTGATAGAATCTACAAATATATTAGAAGGATATTGAAGAGTTTAGTCCTACGCCTACTTTTGGTGATACTGTAATGCTTCATCATTTTGGTAATAAAAGGTGTTTGTAAAGACAGAAGTTCAATGGATGTCGATGATGCATTTTTTTTCCTATTTTCCTCATTTTGAGTAAATTACGGCATCATAAATGCACACCACTACAGTATCTAAAAGATGGGCTCCTTTCAATTTAGAGAATTAAAAAATGACTTCCTAAAATATTTTGATGACTTTGTTGTTGTTATATAATATTGGCAGACAGTGGATTCTTTGTCTATCAGGAATTACAGACACTTTACACTGGTTTGCAGCCAACACAATCATATCAGCCAAAATGTCTTTGTGTTGGTGAAAAAAAAAAAAAAACGCTTTTTCTTTTACTTAAGGGCAAAAAAGCAAAACTATTCCTCCAACAGCCACAAGGCACATTCAGTACACACACACAAAAACACACTCACACACACACAATGCTGTCACCATGTCTGCTGAAATCCGTGGCCTTTTCATCTTAATGGGAACTGTCTGCTTCAGTAGTGTTTTTTAATTAAATGTTCTTGGTTCAAAACTAGTTTTAAGAGGAAAACATAGAGTTGAATTCTGCTTCTCTATTGTACTCATTTGTCACCTTTCTTTGTCTTACGCAATAATAAATTTGGATATAACTGTACCCCAGCCCATTGCCAAGAAAAAAAAAATCCTATGATTAAAAGTATTTTTAATGGGCAACATTAAAGGTGAGCTGTTCAAAAATGTAAATACTCCTCCGTGACAATCTTGCAGTTACGACTGTAGTCATAAGAGTAATAAAAGTGATGTTTTTGAAGTAAATAATTGATGTAGCAACAACACCACAGAGTTGTGGTTTTGAATGAAAAACTAAGTTTGTAAAGGTTCACACTTTCCGGCAGGAGAAGCATCTACTAAATTTCACCTGCCTCCAACACCAGTGCACCGTGGGGGCTGGTGTTGTTGTGATGACTGTGGGCCGGGAAGACGAGCCTTCACTAAAAAAAAGGACTCATTTATCCTGTTTCTACAGTGACAAAGCAGTCCTGCAGGTTTCACCTTCACCTCTCCTCCCAGCCCTTAAGCAGCCAAACTCTAGCTGAGCATGCTCATTGCATCACGCTTCACTTCCTTCTAACAGGAAGTTGCATTCATTCATTCATTTACAAGTATGTCAGGCCAAACCATGTGGACAAATGAATGGACACCGGATGAGAAAAGGAAGATTTAGTAGATTTCCTAAACAAGTCAAAGACACAGCAAAAACACCAACTAGCCACACACACCGGCTGATTACCTGCAACAAGTTCTGTTAAGATGATTCTAATATCAGTCATCATGAAATATTAAGATCAAAAATGTCGTCTTAAGTAAACAAACTGCCAAAATAAATACAACAGGTTTGTAACAAGAGACGGTAAGGAATATTTTTAGGTACTTATGAGGATTCTAGTTACAACAAAGAGTTTTGTGCTTACTGGTCTTACTCTCAGGCCTGCGACAGAATAAATAAATATATATATGTATGATTAAGGCAAATATTGCTGATCATGCAGATGATCCTGATCAAAATCGTTTAATACTGTAGTTTTTCAAATCAATTACTCTGAAGGTGATTGGAAATACAGTATTTCTATGTCACTTTTGAGCCTACGACTCACTGCACAATCTCCAGTGTGTCTGACTGCTGACAGTCAGGTCATTATGAAATACAACTGCTCCAAATGTGAACAGTGTCACTACTTGTCCAAATGTTTGCATGTCCCTCCACTATGACAGTACTAACTACGGCCTACATTCAGCTCGCACATAATCGGCTTACCAGGTTGAACACGGTCTCCACTATGTCTCTGCTGGAAACTTCTCCAACTTCCACTAGGCCGGTGAGCACGGCAAATTTCATCCTGATCCCCCTGATGGGTACTCCGGGGTTGTGCGCCATGGCGCCCGGTTTCCCGTCCTTTCCTTCGGCTGGCTGCAGCGCTGCGCCCGTTGCCGTTTCCTCGGAAGCCATTACTAAGAATGGGAGGAGATGAAGAAGCGGCAGGGCAGGTGGTGCTCACAGGTAAGGCACCTGTTCACCTCTAACGGCAACAGAGGAGCCCCGGGTCGGAGGCAAAAGCGGGATCTATGTCCCCTTCAGCTGTGTTGTTGACAAGCCGAACGTTTGGCTCCCCATCCAAAAAACTGTTGTGTCCTCGAAAAATGGGGGAATAAAACACGTCGTTTGAATATATTCAGTCCTGCACAGCGTGGAAATGTCAACGGCTTCACTTCATACTTCCCACTCCGTAACTTGATACCGCACAAATGGATTAATGTCGTTTAAAAAAAGCAGAGGGGAAGTGTGCCGCAGGTAAGCAGAGGAGGCTGCAGGTGAACGGCGTCACCCTTTTTCTCCTCTGCTCGGTCCAGTGGAAAAAACAAAGAGAGGAAGACTTTTTTTAAATCCCCCACCGAAACAGTGGAAGTTGTTGCTATTGTGACTGACTCCACACAGTTGACAGGTACAGAGCGTCTGGCAGAGGCAGAAAACTCGCTCACAGCAGAGGAAGGTAAGTCCGTCAGCGGCTCCAGCTCCGGCAGAAGTCGCTAAAGACCGCAGCTCCGCTCTGTCCTCCCCCTGCAGACTCCAGAGACTTGGTGAAATGTCAGCGTTGAGCCAGTTGTGCTGTTTTCTCTTCCTGATTTACCCCGGCAGCTTTCGCTCGCCTCCGCCATGACAGTCAGGCTTCCAGTGAACAGCGCATGCGCACTTGAGAGCTGAGGTTATTGAGCTCAGTGGCAGGTGTGCACTTCAGGTGACCGTTCAGGAAGACACGGGGGGCCATTTTTGTTAATCGGTGGGCGCTCAGTTCTGCTTCTGGCGTCAAAGTGTATGAACAACACTAATGGTTGATTTCATCATCCTATTATGATGAATACGGTCAAAGTTTCCTCGCTACCCAGGAATTTATAGAAAAGAGGCAGAAACACAAACCTAAACGGATGTTAAACGCCACACAACAAAGCAGGAGTGAATAGAAAAAGAAGGAAGTAATGGAACGTTCCAGATTTCAACTGCCGTAAAATGTGCAGAACAAACGGTAAAGAAACAAGACAGCCTATTGAGACTTGTTTTTTATCTAAACAATTTCTTGATAGGAGAAAAATACAAACAACGAATTAAAATATGGTATTTTTATAGCATAAAATAGGAATTTTTTTTTACAAATGCTATAAAATACAAAGAATATTAAAAGGTAAAAAATGTACAATTTTATATTCAGAAGAAGCATTTTTAAATGACAACAACTTCCTGATTATAATTAATAAAAACTCAATGCAAAGGTCTTCTGTTGTTCTTGTTTGCTGAAGAAGAAAGAACAAGTAAAGACGTCTCACACAGTAAATACATACATGACTGAAGCGGAGGCTCATTTAATCGTAATCTAAAAAGGTGTACTTCCAGTAATGATTGGTTACACCGTACATATATGAATACTTAAATAGGTTTTAAAAAGAATGACACAAGAGAAAGATGAAGCCTGTGATTGCATTCAGCAAAAATGCATTCAGTTACATTGGTAACAGCCAGATTGACCTGTTTCAAAAGCCTCGAGGAAAATGGATCACTGGGCCACTATTTTCACTCTCAACTCCCATCACACATGACAATGGGAGCAAAGTCACTATAAACCAGTTCTACTTCTTATACGTGTACTGTGGGGATTGCTAAACAGACATTCTTGGTGGAGATCCTGGATGCCTAAGGGGTTGGAGCATCTGTCTTGGCCATTTGTTGCCTGGAGTCAAGTACACAAAACAACTAATACCTCAAATGACCAAGATCAATACTGCACTTGAACTAATCTACTCTGTATTCTGGGTATTTTTGGATTGACGGAGGATTCCAACCAATCCATGCACACCATGAGGAGATGTGACAGAACCAACACCCCATGGATGAGAAGCATTCGTTTCAATAACATAATGTATTTGGGCTACATGAAGACAGAACCTGCCAAATACAAAAATGACAATATTCATATGTGTTTTCTAACTTTTCCGCTCACATTAGTGCCTCCATATTAGCCATGCAGTACGAAAGCTTTAAAATCACGAGTGTTGTTGTCACAGAGGCAGCTGATGTCACCACTACCACTGATCTAACATAGTTTATGGTGGATGATCCCTGAGGGAGCCAGGAGTCATGGAAGCCAGCAGCACCGCCATGAGACACAAAATGAAATCATCAGGCTTATGCTTTTTTAAACAGTAGCCTTAAAGACACAGTCAGAGCTTTTAAAAGGAAATTTATTTTAGATTTTAACCGCTTTAATAAAGACAAATCCTTACAAAATAAATATAACCTTTAGTATGTAAGACTTAGGGGAAAAACCCTTCCATAAAGACCGTGTACGAGATGAATAAAATGTAGCTGTAAACCACCTACTGTATGTTTACATTTTGACAGGTTAGACCTGAAGCCTGTTAGCCTTTGAAACGTTAAACCGTAGCTGTCTGCCTGTATTCAAAACGTGGCCTATCAGAAACTCTATCTCTAAACGTTAGAAAATGTGCATAAATACACAAATCAAGAACATTATGAACAATAATTAGGACTGACAAAACCAATATGATGTGTGTTGGTGACAGATTCAGTGTACTGCACATAAATAAATAAATAATACAATGCAACTGCTGCCTACCCAAAACTGTCCAAAGAAACAAAATACATTTTTTCAAGGCTTTTTAGCTTTTTAGCTTTTAAGCTTTTTAGCTTCATAGCAATGAGTTCACACGTGTCCCTAATAAAATGTCATTTGAGAAGTATATTACTAACAGACAAAAATCCATGTCATTGTTACAAGGTAACAGTGAGGGAGGCTCACACCTGTATGATGTGTCAACACACCTAAAGACTGGTTTGTCCTGATGGAACGGTCCAAAGAAAATACATTTCTGACGTTGTCTGTCCAGATCATAATAAAAGGTTATGAATAAATTAGATTATTTAATAAAAGTAATAATAAAATGATTTAAATTCCCTGCAAATCACTTTTTACTGTTCTGAGGTAAAAAATGATTTAAATTCCCTGCAAATCACGTTTTACTGTTCTGAGGTAAAAATCTTAAAAAATAATATTTGGTGTTTTAGACTTAGACCATCCACTTAGACCATCCACTTTTGTGATAAAGATTTAATCTGCTCTATTTAATATAGTTAAACGTGTTTTTAATTTTCATGTGACTGTGAAAATAGTAAATTGATATAAATAAATGTAACAAAAAAACTAACGACCACGAGCCTTTAAAAATGTATGATGCAATCTACGCAATAGCCAGCAGAGGGAGATGACAGAAAAAAAATCCACAAGGACTCGCGAGATAACCTAGGTCTCATGAAGTCTTCGCTTCGCTTTAACTCTCGCGGGATTTCGTATTTCCTCCTCTTTCACTCCCTGTAGCCAACATGGCAGTCGGCAAGAATAAGAGGCTGACCAAAGGCGGCAAAAAAGGTGCCAAAAAGAAGATGTAAGTAGAACATTTACCCTCTGTAAAGCAAAATACACTCTCTCCTTTTAGTCGGTGTCAGGTTTGGCTGAAAACCGTGAAGGATGAAGACGATTTTAAGTAGATGATAACAGGGCCGATGCTAGTCTTTCGTCGTCACCGGCCTGTGTGGAGCTCGGCCGGCATATTCCACATACTCCGTGCTGGAGCATTTTTCTTTTGGAATTGTGAAAGTGTGTTGGTCCGGTTTAATTTTATTTGGAGAGTATTGTGTGGGTTAAGAAATCGTAAGAACCAACGACCCTGTGTGAAACAGTATTTTGCTAATGGCTACAAAATGTTAGCTTGGGTTTAGATATGTTTGCCTACGGACATGCTTGCTAAACTGTTCGATACTGGAGAGTAACTGTGTTTAGTCCGATTGCACTATTTGTAAAACACGTTAATCTATGAGAAATAGTTATGTAAATCTTATACTCGGTTAAGAATTGAATGCTTTAGTGTTTGCTGCTAACCACATGAGTGTCCGAAGTACATGCTTACCTCGAGTTCAGAGAGGATTTTGAGACTTGTACTAACAGCACAATCGCCATTGATTATTGCAGTGTGGACCCTTTCTCCAAGAAGGACTGGTATGATGTCAAGGCACCAGCCATGTTCAACATCCGCAATATTGGCAAGACCTTGGTCACCAGGACCCAGGGAACCAGTAAGTCCTCATAATTTAAGAATCTAATTTCTTAATTGACGTAGGGCTGACAGTACGACTGTTTAGGGGAATTCTGATTATTTTAACGTTTAACATTGAATCACAGTTCATGAGGATGTTGTAATATTGTACAGGATTTTGTATAGAAGCAATAATCTTTGTTGCAATCAACCAGGGATTGCTTCCGATGGTCTTAAGGGACGTGTGTACGAGGTGAGCCTGGCTGACCTGCAGAACGACGAGGTGGCCTTCCGTAAATTCAAGCTCATCAGTGAAGATGTGCAGGGCAAGAACTGCCTCACAAACTTCCACGGCATGGACCTGACCCGTGACAAGATGTGCTCCATGGTCAAGAAGTGGCAGGTAACAATTTTTAATTCAAATCTTCTAAATATTAACTTTTAGTTACTAGTAAGAGTACGTTAGTACATTTACTTTACAAAGTAAATGTTGATAGTTCTTTGCTGTACATGTGGGATGGTTACATTGTATTACCATTTGTATTACTTGGAAGTATAATTTGTACACGTCTTCTTGCAGACCATGATTGAAGCCCACGTCGATGTCAAGACAACCGATGGCTACCTTCTGCGCCTGTTCTGCGTTGGTTTCACCAAAAAGCGCACCAACCAGATCAGAAAGACTTCGTATGCTCAGCACCAGCAGGTCCGTCAGATCCGCAAGAAGATGATGGAGATTATGTCCCGTGAGGTTCAGACCAACGATCTGAAGGAGGTTGTCAACAAGCTGTAAGTTATTCTCCTTCATGGGGTCATTTTACTGTAACGAGTCTCATTTCATTGAAAAACTTTTATAATGTATTTTTTTTTTTTCATCCAGTATCCCAGACAGTGTTGGCAAGGACATTGAGAAGGCCTGTCAGTCCATCTACCCTCTGCACGATGTCTACGTCCGCAAGGTCAAGATGCTTAAAAAGCCCAAGTTTGAGTGTAAGTAAAAAAAAGTTGCACATATTTACTATTTATTGAGAACATGTGATGAGACCTGTTTTGGTCCCATATGACCCTGTGATTACTGTTTTTGGATATTGAGAACATGTGATGAGACCTGTTTCGGTCCCATATGACCCCGTGATTACTGTTTTTGGAGTCTCCTGACGTTCCCTTACGTTATTAAATATTGTTTTAACTTAATTTTCATACAGAGTTACAGTTCACTGTTAGTTTTTTACTTTTCTTTAAATGTCGTTGACATTAAACGGCATTATACAACCTAACCCTAACCTGTTAAGATCAGCATGAGCTAAATGTCTTTGTACTCCACCCCCTTTTAGTGGGCAAACTGATGGAGCTCCACGGTGAGGGTGGTTCCAGCAGTACTACAAAGGCACCCGGTGACGACACTGGCGCCAAGGTGGAGAGGGCTGATGGCTACGAGCCCCCCATCCAGGAGACGGTCTAAAAACAACCTGACAGATTTAATAAAAAATGTAAATGACCAATTAAATGTCTCCGTTTTAATTCATTTCCATGTGGAAGGAGTGTCGTGTACATATGCTAACTGCTGTTAACATATGATGAAAAGAGACATAGAAGCAGACTACAGGTGATGAGTAAAAAAGTGTTTAAATGGTCATGAGAGGGGCAGCTGTGGTTGGACAAAGTTGACAGGGATGTGGAGGAAATAAATAAATGGGAATTGGTGTTCGCCAAAGGTACTGCACATAGCTGTCAGTGGTGTTGACATTAATACAGGCTTGAGAATTTTGTGTAAATGACAAAATGAGGGTAACATTGAGGAGACTACCTTAGAAATTTACCTGCACATAAGTTGGCAGCAACTGCGACATTTTCCTTGTCAAAATGGAAAAAAAATTGGGATGAAAGTTCCAAATGTTTAGTAACGTCATCACATGCATATAAAGCAGACCATTAAGAATTAAACAGCTTTTATTACGAGCAAGTAAAGATATATATATATATAAAAGCAAGCGGATGTATAAATTAGAATGAACCACTAGATGGCGCAAAAGATCAAATCTTACATCCATGATATTCACAACCTGCTGTAACACTGATACAAAACTATGTTAAGTGAAATTTCTATAAAACAGCTTGGAAATTAAATAGTTTTTAGTCAAAGGCAGATGTTTAAGATGTCCAGTGCTTAACTTTTTTTTTTTACAATCCCATGTCCACCACGTTCATTGCACTATTCCAGCATTTGAACATAGTTTTTTGGGACCATAGCTCTTCTCCCCTTCAAATCACCTAAGACCCATTCATCGTCAATGGACTCCAGGTTGGTTATTATATCGCCCACCTGTGGAAGAGGAGCAGACAGTTCAGGACGTGTAACTCTTCAGGTGAGGCCTGTGTTTACATGGAGAAACCTCCTGGTACCTGTAGAGAGAGCTCCTCCTCACAGTCAGAATTGAAGCTGTACAGAGCTCTGGCTTTTCTACCACCAGGAGCTGCAGCTTCATTTATCGGAATATTGGTTGACTGTTGACCTGCCGAGAATGGTACAGATACAGAACTATTTTATTTACCAATCTCCATACAGTAAAAGAATAAAAGCAGTTCTATCTAAAATAATTTATATCTAAAAAAGGAAGAAAAAATATGAAATTATATACTAGTGACAAATAGACCCACTGGGTGGCAGATCATTAGTAATTTCAATGAGGATGTTTTAAATTATATTTCTTATTAGTAACCTTGTAGTGGACTGCAGCCTAAACAAACCCTAATTTTACTCATTTTCCACATAATCCCTGTCCTGTCACACACTTCATACCTGTGGTACTTTCCACAAAGGCTGTAGGGAACATGCCGTCTCTGCCGTTCACGCTGCCACGGCTCCAGTCAGCACTGAGCTGCTCGGTGACCAGTATACAGTCGCCCTGCTGAAAGGACAGGTCATCGGCTGACTTCCCCGCGTAGTCGTACAGTGCCACCACCCAGTTAACATTGGACTTGGACACCTGTAGTCAACGGTACACAAGAAAAAGCTACATTTTGTCAATCTTTATTCACAATGAGCATTATGACTGGAATTTAAAACAAATAACTTACTTACCTGAGCAGGTTTTGGAATCTCAGCGTTTGAACTCTGAGCAGCCACCATTCCTGTGAGAGATTAAAATAAAACGCATGAATAATTCAGGAGTGAATTAATAAACGTTAATCTAAAAATACTTGATGCCAAGGAGTCAAACTTGTCACTTCATTGACTTGTGGCCAGACATGGTTTGTTAAAAATGTGTCTAGGCTTCATGTTTACTGAAGCGGGAGCTTTTGTAAACAGCCGTTTAATGAAACAGAAACAATTGAAGAAATTCCTGAAATGCCAGGGAGGAAAATGAGAGTTCATCTTTACAGAGCGATACCCATACCCATACCCTAAAACTAAAGTAATACAGCCAATAGGACTATATAAATTATGTTGGGACTTCAGATAAAGAATCTTCCAAATTAGGAGAAAATATTAAAAAATCTATCTTGAAAAAAAAAAACTACTTGGCTTCAACTAAAGGTAAACAAAATAATCAGAACTGTATCTTAAAATCGTACCAGGGAGAGCAATGGCCTTCGGCTGTGGCTGAGGCTGACTTGGAGCTGGAGGCAGATCTTCAATCACCTCCACAAAGCTGAGAGGGAAGAGTCCGGTAAGGACTCCCAGCTGCCCTTTGGCCCAGTCTTGTCCGATGTACTCCTTCAGCTGGATCATGTCTCCCTCTCTGAATGACAGTTCATCACTGTGCTCACCCTGAAAGTCAAACCTGGCCACACACCGTGGACCACTGCAGGAGACAAGCACAGCCACAACAGTTGATAAGATCAGAGGATTCTCATGATGTCATATCATAGAGTTAGATCAGATAGATCCCATCGTAGAATTTGTACCTTAATGTTGATGGCTTGGGTTTTCTTTCAGGGAGGGTTTTTGGTGAATCTGGCTTTAAGATTAGATTTCACACGTTATTATTTCACTCTTCAGTCTCTTCAACAATGTTACACACACTTGATACTTGCTTTTACGTAAAAATCTGGATGGACAAATTCAACTGTTAGAACAGTGTAGAACTTACCAACACTTTCACATAGTTGATGGGAAAGAAACCAGTGGACCCTCGACATGTGCCTCTGTACCACTCACTGTCCACTGGCTCCACCATGGTCACAATGTCACCTGCCTTCAGACACAGCTCACCTGGACCCTCTATAGAACCACAAGAGACACACTGTTGGTCAGGACTGGTTGTAGATCAAAGTTGCAAAGTTAAGAATATCTACTGAGCTGAGTAAGCAAACTCAAGTCTGAAAAAATAGTCGTGTCACCTGGTACAAAGTCAAACATGACCTCCATCTTTTGTCCTTGTCCGCCTCCACTTGAAGACCCAGGTGTCTGTAGAGAATAAACAAAGACTCAGTGAATCAGAACTTCAAAGAAACTAATAATGAAGGTTTACTTCCTCCTGTTTGATAAAGAAACTCATGACTGAAGGAGGAGTAACCTGAGATGGAGACACGTCTGAGGTCAAAGGAGTGATGACCTTCATACAAGACTTGTGGACTCTGCCTCTGATTTCTCCCGCTTGGCACTCGTAAATGTTCTGGTCAACCTTCTCTACCAGGAGCAGAACTTCATTTTTCTGTCGAGCAAAAAGATCCAGATGTTCTGACTCTGCCTGACAAACAGAGTCAGCTAATAGGAATAAATAATATAAAGTTACCTTGAATGACAGCTCCCCTGCACTGCTGGCGTTGTAATCCTGCTCTGCTATTCCATGAGGAAGTTCAAGCTTGGCAAAGAAAGCACAGGCATGACATCAGTAATTGTTGTGCAGTATTTGAGCCAATTGCAGTGGTGGGACGTCTCTCACTGTGTACTTGTTGTAGAGACGGTGGCCTGGGTTGGGCCTTGGAGGCAAGATGGGCTTTTTCCCATGGGACCCATGCATCTGGGGTTTAGGAGACACTGGCACTGAAACGGAGCGACCTGTGGTCTGTAAGCTGGGAGCGTGGGGCCGACCTGGCCCGGCTTTGACAGAAGGTGGGCGAGGTGGGAGGGTTCTGACCATGCTGGGCTTCCTGGGATCAGTCACATCATCATCATAGTAAATAAACAAAATCTTAAAACACAGGTCTTTCTCTAAACATAAACAGGAGACCCCTCCACCCCCTCCATGCTACATCATACTTACCGGGGTGGTAATGATGGTTCTGGCCCAAAGGGGGACGTGTCCTGTTGACGATTGATCAATAGTTTTAGCACTAAAAACAACTGGTGGAACAGTTTACGGTTCTAAAAAACCAAAGGAATCGTTAAAGAATCTGTTAAACACCTGTGATGGGAGGATGGGAGTGGACATTTGTCTCTGGATCAGCGAGCTGTTCATGGAGCCAATAGGTTTCTGAACAGGAAGAGGAGGAGGATGGCTGTCCTGAAAATTGTCTGAGACTGAGGAGAAACAATAATGTTATTACATTAACAACTAACAACCAACGGCTACAAATCACATTCAATCACAGACTTGATTTTATGCATCACTTTTGACTCACATGAAAGGGTTTTGCTGGGGACTCTGATCGTGGTTGGTCTCCTCGTTGCACTTTGTCGAGCGAATGAGCCTCCATTACTGTGCATGTTTGTCTCAGGCTCTGCTTGAAACTGAGCTGAAATAAAAAAGAAAAAAAAACATAACTATATCACGTTTGTATCACGAAAAAAAAACATAACTATATCACGTTTTTTAGAAGGAAAAAAAAAAAAAAAACATAACTTATCATGTTTTTTTAGAAGGATTGTGAATAGTCATGATGTCACACAATTTCATGTTTATATCATAAACATGGCTTACAGCAGCATCATGCTACTTCCAAAACAAAACCTGGATGTAGGAGGCTACAGGGAGGTGGGGCAGCTGAGATGATCTGGAAAACAACGCTGCTCCAAAGAGGTAACTTACACGGATAACTGCTGAAGGGGTCAGGGTCATTGATCACAGCAGTGGAGTTGTGGTTGTTGATGTTAAAGTTTGGTCTGGGCGGCTCTTTAGGAGGCTTCACTGGAGGAACAGGAGGCAGCGGTGAAGGTTCCTCCTCATAGACACAGTTGGCTCTGCTCAACAAAGAAGGACGGGGTCTGATTGGTGGTCCTTTGCTGTGTATAGTCTCTAGTTCCTCCTTTATGGACATTCCCACAGGTCTCTTAGGGGGCTCAGGTCTGGCGGCTGGTATGTGGTCTTCCGGTACGTACGTGGATGATACATCTTGACTGGTGTCATCGACACTGGCAGTGAATGAAGATCTGAGAGCCACAGAGGGCTTAGCAGCAACTGGAGGTTTGATGGCAGCCTTCCTCGGTCGAGGTTCTGGTTTGACTTGTTCCACTGCATTTCCATCCTCGGTCTGACTTTCAAAGGCCTTGATTCTGGCCTGCATATTTCCTTGATTATTGGTGCTCATTTCTCCAACAGCATTTTTACTTTCAGAGGCCTTGTCTGATTGGTTGACAATGTCACCCTTGTCCCCACACCTGCTCTCTGTGCTAAAAATCTCTAAGAGTTCTTTTAAATACTTATTTGAGGATTCATCTTCTGGAGCGACGTCGACACTGTCACTGTTTTCACCAAGTCTGACCAATGACTGCTCTGCAGTGGACTGCTTTGGGAGTTTTTTACGTGGAAGTGGGACTGGGTACTGATGAGACTGTGAAGAGGCAGAGGGATGAAGAGCAGCAGAGTCACAGTGGTTGGTTTGAGCAGCTTGGCTAGTTTGCTCTGATGTTCCTGCAGATGCAGTTTTTTCTGCTGTCCTTTTAGGAGCTCTGACACTTTTAGTGGCCGGTCTTCCGTCCCCTGGCTTTGGCAACAATGGTCTTGGTGGTTTTTGTGGTTTTTTACCTGCAAACAGATCCAAACAGAGTCCACCGTAAGAGTTACATCTGACCGAGACCTGGACTCAGACCAGCTGAAATAGTTTGTAGTTCCTACCAGTAGATCTTCTTTCAGCTGATGATGGAGTGGCAGCACTGCACTTTGAGGCAGAGGTGGTTGAATTTGCCCCCTGAGGGTCGGTCTGGGTGGCACTTGTGGTGGTGCAGTTAATGCGGCGAGGAGCTGCAGTCGGCTTAGAGATGTGCTCTTCCTGGGTTTTCTCTTGAATCACCTGGTCATAGGATGGTGGAGGCTGAGTCATGAAAGAGAGAGGTGTTCACACACACATGCACAGTTGCACTCACACATTATTATTTCCGTGATTGGAGGCTTTACTTTGCAGGCTTTACTTTTACAGCAATGTTTGACTCAGGACCTGGCTGGACAAACACCCACAATCTCATAAATGGTAAATTACATGAGGAAAACGAGGAAAACAGAATGAAAATAAACACTGTTGGCAGAACTGGGTGGTACCTGGGACACAGGTAGACCTGTTGAGGACCAGCTGGACTGAGACAGAGGAGGTAGAACGACAGAGGATCCAGGGAACCAGCTGTTTCTGACCAGGGGTTCTGATGAAACTACGGTGATCTCCGGTCGCCTAAAACACCCAAAATGTACACACGATAAAGATCTGGAAGAAAAGTACAGGAGTATTTCTTCAACCCCAAACTGTTTCAGATTACCTTCTGTCTCGGTGGTGGTCACACTGAGAGTTGCTTCTTGCTGTAGTAGAAAAGAAAACATCATTATCAGATCCACCAGGGATCACACGAACAATAATGTTGCATAAACACAACACACATTTTGAGCACCACTCCCTGGTGATTGTTAGAACACTAGTTCAGACAGATGGCATTTACAAACTAGATACAGCACTTGAATCACTCAACACACCAAACAAAAAAAATACCATTCACTATATTAACTTTTTCTACTGATTTTAAATAGCCAGTTTCTTTGTTTTTTCAAACTTACTTCGTTTGATGACAGCCCGCAAAGATGACAGACTGTAACACAGAGCACAAATACAAATTTAGAAATATCATCCAGATAACAATGTGGTCAGAAGTTTAGAAACTGAAATCTGTTCACTTGTCTTCAGCCAGAAGAAAAGAAAATAATAAATATGTATCACTGTAATCACCGATGCCATTTTTACGTGCGATATTTAAAAAAAGACCATGTTAAGGTGACAAAAACAAATATAGCAAAAACATAAAATAAACGGATACATTAACAAAACTAAGAATTTCTATTTCTGTCCTCAGGGTTTAACAGACACCACAGTCAGGCTCTAATATCAACACTTTCATCCCTGTGTGTCTTCACCAACGCTACAGTAAACAGTAGGGGCACAGCCTCAGCTGTAGGCGGGTAACTCTACCTCTCTGGGGAGGGTGAGAATGATCCGCCTCAGTTCAACGTTACTCCTTTCATTGATGGTGTAAATGATGAAGGAAACGTGCTTTTCTACAGATGCACGTATGCTGTAGATTTATTGTTTTGGGGCTGTGGTTGCTTTATTGCTTTATTGTTTTATTCCATTGCATTTTTACAACTCTTTAGCAGTAGAGCCTACGGTCAAAAGTCTTAGAAAAATGGATCAGATAAAACTACACACCTATAGCGTAAGGATTCTTGTTTGGTTCTTTCAGGCTGATCTGTGGAGGAACATACAGAAGAAGTTACTGTGTGTTGAAGAAAATACAAAACAAATGTACACCAGAGTTTAAGACGATCGTATGGTTTACTAAAGTGGCATCAGATGAACATTAATGTAATGACTGATTGAGTTGACAATAACCAATTAGTACAAAGTTAGACTGTTATTCATGTTTTTGGAACACATTACCAAGAAGAACTGAATGAACTAGAAATACTTGAACCAAACCCACAGTTGCAAGAAATGCATTTCAACCTTGATGAACCAGTTGGTAATACTGTGACTGGAGCAGATGGTTTCTAGAAGGACTTACTGGATTTAGTTGGTCAGGCAATGTTGTCACAAATTTGCATGATAGCCAAACGAGCTAAAAATAGCTGAAAAATAATGAAATTATGTGTAACTAGAGAAGTAGTCCACAGAAATGCTACAGTTGCTAAATTTCTGTGGAATTTTCCCATAATATTTGTACATGTGGACCATTGATATATGTCTATAAACAAAATACATGATCAAAAATTGAAGAAAGTTGTACCACATTTGGCCCCTGGACCTGACTTTGGATATACCTAGCTTTCATATCTTTTTTTCTTGCTTACTTTCGTGACTGAAGCAGAGCAACAAATAAGGGCAAAGGCTGGTGCTTCAACTGGGGGTTCTGTGACTTGGAGAATTGTGCATAAAGCAGCAGCAGTGGCCAAAGACAAAACAACAACTCGCACTTACAAGGAAGAATCAGAGGCAGTGAGAGCATAAGTCAGCATTGTTGCTGATGTAAAACCATGACCTCATTAGCAGCTCACCTGTCACACCTGTTAACCATGAGCCACTGTCAGAATCACTCAGGTTACACTTTAACACCACGGGGAGTTAAAAAAAAAAACTGTAGTCTGTAAATTCACTACCAACAAAGATAAACTGAGGCAACTGCCAAGTCTCCAGACACTTGTTCATCAAGACGTCCTTCACTTCCTGTAGTTTAGCAACAATCCAACATTAGTTTGTTGTTTCCCTGAAACTAAACTCATATCTCTTGTTAATACGAAGTCACCTCTTACCTGATGATAAGTCCTAAGTTTCAGCCCGAGCAGAGCCTTTCCATTAACATCATCACTGATCCACTGGGTGCGAGTGAGTTTGTGTTTCAAAGAAGTCGGAGCAGGTAGTCACACACCCACAGACAACACAGGGAGGGAGGGCATATCCCAGCTCTCCCGTGTTTACTCAGCCAATCTCACAAACCGGAATGTGGACATTCAGGAAGTGATGGTTGTGCCACACGACACTGCACCGTCACTGGCCATGAAAAGTAAAAGGTCACATGGATAATGATCCATGTTTTCAATGTTTTAATTAGTTGCAAATTAAAAACGAGCCTCAAACAGAGACAGACAATACTTTACCATTTCATCTACACCGGGGAATTGGGTCATTGACAATAATTACACCTAAAATGTATTCAAAATGCATACGTCATGATACAGGGTTGACATCAGCCATGTTCCAATTGGAGGATCAAATCATAATTACATGTCTTCTACTCTTCTTTTCTCTCTTCATGCACTGAAAAACTATTTCTAAATCATGTGCATTAACATCAACATTATGAAAAACCCTAAGTTGCAAAAAAGATTCTAAGAAAAACATTAATGTCCTCCTCATGTCATTTAGCTAGTTTAGATACCTCCTTTTTCCAGTTTCATTACATTCCTGAGATGCTCTGGCGCCCTCTAGGGGAGGCACACATTCACTTTAGAAACTCCTGGTGTATAGCACAGTAAATGCTGTTTCTATAAGCGAAGGAAAGTGGAAACCAACCATAAAGATGAACAAAATACAGAAACATTTCCCAGAAAATGTTGAAGCAGTTAAACAGTATGTCTTTAAATAGGTGGGTTTTTTCAAAGATGTTTGAATTTAGCATGCAACATTTAAGCTTTAATTAAAAATTTAAAATGTGTTTGGTTTGAATCCCAAATATTTGAATAATGCAGCCCGTGAATACATGGAATTGCTGAGGAAACAATATTACAACACTAACAAATGTGCCACAAAGCTGCTGAACTCAGCTGGCCTGGCTTCCCACAGCCGGTCTTCTCCCTTGAACACATGCTGACATTACTCAGCACAAGAGCAGCAGTCAAAGAGCAGCTGGTGAAAAGGTTGGCAACAAAAGGCAGAGGGAGAAAAACAGTCTGCCTCTGTGTGACACACTACACCAGCAGGGACGGAGCAGGAACTCCTTCACATCCAGTCAGACTGAGAACCTTTTCTAACTTTTTATCCAACCAGCAAGGATGAATCTGGTGACAGAACCATGAATATCAGACAGGTTCTGTCATCATGTTGAACACACTGAGATAAACGCTGTGTTCCATTTTCTGCAGTTCTGTTCTGTCGAAAGAATACACTGTCATGTGATCTAAGCATGTCGGAAAGGTATAGTTAAGGAAAAGACAGTGATAAGATGCGAGTCACGCTGGGATTATATAAGGGGCAAAAGTTCATACTGCATCAAACTGAAGCAAGAGGGAGGCATTAAAGACAGGGTCTAAATATTGATCTCTCAATGGGGTTAATTATATATGAATATATACATATATTTCTAAAATGGCGTACATTTGTGCTAAGTTGTTTAATTGTTCATTTATAATTGGCTAATGGCTGATCAGATTTTATTGAGAAGACTCTCTTTAACTACTTTAAGGAGACATTTGCACTCAATATTTGTCTACAAATGTCACATTGTAAAAGTGATCTTGTTAATTTAACAGGTAGTTGACAGTGGACATTTTTAAAAACAAATCTGCTGAATATGGTTCACCATAATAACATGAAATTATTAAGACTAACACAATGATGCCTAGTTAATGTTACATTGCACATACTACATGTACTACAGTACATGTTAAACAATAATCAGATATTTTAAATTAAATCTTTAAAACAGAAGACCTTCATACCTTCATTGGTTTGATCATATGTGTTTCTCTGTGTTTCTGGTTTAATACATACAGTATATTTAAAAAAAAACACGTACGTTGTGCCATCGTGAACTAAACATAAATTAACATTTTCTTCCTAGAATTTGTAGATTACTGTTAGATTTATTAACGTTAGTTTTAAGCAAGAACAATTTGAAAGAAAAAAAAACAATCCAAGGAACTGCAAAGAGTCTGCGATAAATCGGTATTAACAATATTCAATGTATTTGAACTGCCAAACTTCAGTATTTTATTCTATTGTATTTTCTGTGAAGCGGATTAAAAACAGTTGCCAGCCTGTTACATTCCTCGACTGTTGGGCCTCTCTACTGTCGCCTACCTGTTGCCTGGTTCCTGCTCCGGACGCCCCGCACATCTCGGCTACGCTCCCCCTCCTTCTCATCCAGCCGCCGGGCCTCCGCCATCGGGACTTAAACACAACGAAGACACTGATTAAATAACTTAATTAAAAATACATAATTGTCCTCATATAGGCTGCCACATACCTTCGATCGACAACTCTGACCGCTCGGTGTGTCCAGAACACTGGGAGTTGCAGTGCGTCCTGCCCACCACTGCGTGTGCCCCTCACTGGCTGGATGGAGGTGGTGCCACTCAGAGTACAAACCCGAATGAACAGGACCAAGAGTCTGGGTATTAAAAAGACACTAGTGATTATAATGTATTAATCATTTTATTAAAAAACAAACAGACAAAAACAAAACACTAAGGTTTCATTGGACTACACAGAAAGGGAAAAGTCCCCCCCAATTGCCAACAGTTTAAAAAAAGGAGGCCTGCAGGATTAAAAACAAAACTAACTTTTTTCACTTTTTAATTCATGTTAAAAGCCTGTGGTTTAGAAACAAACCCCAAAACAATGTGATGGGCCAAAAAGGGCCTGGAGCAGAGCAGCGTCTCAGAATGATTTTTTAAAAAGAAAATATTAAACAAATACTAATAATGGTCACAGTAATGCTGCTATATCTTAGTATGTATACAATACAAATAAAACATAGTATGTATGTTTGTTATTTTTTGCGGAATAAATCCAAACATATGTTTGGAAGTAAAGCAAACAATGTCCAGGAATAAAAATTCCGATTTTTAGGGCTTTACGTGCGCGTTGATTCTACTAATCTCCACAAGATGGCACCATTTCACAATTTTAAAAAAAGGCGACTTCGGCTGAATAGGCAATGAGAAAGAAAGAGTTGGACGGATCTCACAATATAACGTCATGACAACAGGGTGGTAAGAACATGTAGTTCGCTGTCGAAATGTTTAGAACATTTTTTGTCTGGTGAAAAAACGATTATCAAAGTGCTAAAGAGACAAATTGACCAGATTATTTGTTTATATTGCTGGCTCGGAGTGTTGACCGAGGAAAATCTGATCAGTTATTGTAGCAGACTGAGGAGTTTGTAGAAACAAGGCAACAGCAGGTATCAGATCTCCAACTCCTGCAATGAACCCACTTTAATTTAAACCACACATGAATTAATTAATCTAAGTATAATCAGTTATTGTAGCAGACTGAGGAGTTTGTAGAAACAAGGCAACAGCAGGTATCAGATCTCCAACTCCTGCAATGAACCCACTTTAATTAAAAACCACACACGAATTAATATCCAATTATCTTATAGTTTTCTGGAGGTATCCCGGACGTAGCCCCACCCCCTACTCTTACCCTGTGTCAATTATATAACTTCTTTATTGTCTCGCTGTCCTCACTTCAACTCGCCCGTCGTCATATTCTTCTGCGCCACATAAAAATGATGTACCGACTTACAGTACATGAGAAACCCATGTTCTTGATGCTATGGCTGATCAAATGTGTACCTGTAAAGATACTAGTTCATCAATTTCCAACTCCAAGACCGTGTTGTCTTACCTATATACATCTTTATACTTCTCTGACCAACTGTCACCGCTTTTACACTGCCTTCACACACTTGCCCAGCATTTCACAATTGAATGTGTTTGTAGAGTTTATGTATAAAATGACTATATAGATTTGTAGTGATATCGTGAAGCCCTCTTTGTGATCTCAAATTAAAAGAAGGAATGTCACATTTAATGCTTTAACAACAATTTAGGAGGTTAGGAGGTTAAAGCACCAATGATCCAGATTAATAAAAATGTATGAGGACAAATGTGACAAAACGTCCCAAAAAGACAATAACAAAATGAGGTGGTTATTGATTCACTGCTGGTTGGATCTTTCAGAGTTTCATCTTTATTTTATTTTATTCAAGTGGGTCCAATCAAAAACCTGTATTGACCTGAAGGATCAATGTAAGGCAGCAGCAGACACCATGTCTCTACGAACTAAAATTACTTAAGAATGTGACTGTGAAAAGTCATAAAAAAACATAGCAGGAATTTTTATTGAAGGAGAATTTAGCTTTTGTTATTTTAAGTATCGCTGACGTCATGGGAATGTTTATGATGCACACCTCGTCATTCAACCTAAATCACAAGACATGGTTTCATTAAATGGAGGCAGAGTCAATTTTGTAAGGCAGGTTGCAAACAAACTTGTTGCATTTTTCTTGCTTCCATTCTCATTCCAGGTGCCTGACATGGTATGTACTCTGCTTTGGCACCACCTAAGTTTTCATGCCCACTAATAATTCAAACATGTCCTAGCACACTATGGTCTTTGTGTCCAACAGAGAAGACAACTCCTTCACCTCGTCACAGGCCTGTTTGCTTTGTAAATCCTCTCCAGTCGGAGTACAATAAAATGCACAGATGAACAACATTATTTGTCGCAACACGGTGATTGATGTCATTGCTTTTCTTTTCCATTCTTTCTCCTGTCACTCCATCACCTTATAAAGGCTGTGAACGATTCAGAGACACAGAGTGTAACATACGTAACGTAAGAGCTCCTGAAGGAACTAAACACAGACTATATCTGGTAACTTTAACATTTTATTTTCTAATTTTTTGGTTGACCTCCTGTTTGAATACAATATAAATATATTTGCTTGAAGTGCTTGGAAGAAACTTCACAAAGACCAAAGATGCTTCCTATCATCTTTATACATCTCCTGATCATAGGTGAGTTGATACCTTTTTAAAAACAGAATAAAATAAAAAAACCTAGTAATTATCAAACTCGTAACTCAAACCAGCGCTGTTCTGGACACAACTATAGCAGCAGGAAGGAACCACGACTGTGGCAGGAGGAACCACGACTGTGGCAGGAGGAACCACGACTGCGGCAGGAGTAACCACGACTGGAGCAGGAGGAACCACGACTGCGGCAGGAGGAACCATGACTGCGGCAGGAGGAACCATGACTGCGGCAGGAGGAACCATGACTGCGGCAGGAGGAACCATGACTGCGGCAGGAGGAACCACGACTGCGGCAGGAGGAACCACGACTGTGGCAGGAGTAACCACGACTGGAGCAGGAGGAACCACGACTGTGGCAGGAGGAACCACGACAGCCGCTGGAGGAACCACAACTGTAGCAGGAGGAACCACGACAACGGCCACTGTGATGACGACAACTGTAAACGCCACCAGCGCAGCTCCGGCCGAACACACTGGGGTGAAGGTGATGAGCGGTCTGCTCCTCTGTCCCCTCACTGCTCTGTTCTTCAGGCTCTTCATTACAGTCTGACTCTGTCTTCATGTCTCTACTACAACGCAGTCGTTGAATGTGTAATTTATGGTGAAAAAGCTGATTTCAGTATACTGTTAAACACTGACGTTGATGGATGTGAAAGTTCCATCTAATATGAAGTGTTAAATAAAATTTATGACCAAATTCAATTTTGCTTGTCTTGTCACTGCTTCAATGTCATCTTTTTGTTTTAAGCAGTTTTTACTTCACATCAGAAGTCACCAACTGTATTTTTCAATGGGCCATAATTTTTCTGGACACACACCTTGTGTTACATAAAAATCATATTTTTATGTAACATTATATTTGATGTTTATGAAATATAATACGTAGTTATTTAAGTCCCAGTTGTCGATGTTTTCAGTTGCTTTAATAGCAGGTACTACACAATATTTTCTCTTTGAGCCTCACAATTTTGGAATCGAGTCGTGGGCCAAATAGGGCGGTTTGTCGGGCCGGAATCAGCCCATGTGCCACCAGTTGATACTGACTGCTCCATGTGATGATGGAAGCCTCAAGGTCAGAATTTCAACTGTAAAAATTACCTGAACTGGTAAACTTTTGAAATTACGACTCAAATAAGTCCAAAGTGTTTTAATGAATTAACTAATTTAGTAAAGTAATATACCATGAGAGTAGAAAACTGTCGTCAACTGTTGAACTTTTTCATATTCTTCTCGTTTTTTTTATTCAAAGACCTAATAAACCTAGTCTTTTCTAAATGTCGTCTGATGTAACGTAACTTAGTAGATACTCAGTCTGACTGGTCCATTTTAAATGGATTGAACCTCTCCTTTTTGTTTTTTACTTGACACCAAAATGACCTGTAGTCCCTGGCAGTCACTCATTAATCAAAGTGACTGGTTTAGTCTCACACTATTTGCCGAAGTGACAAACTAACTAATCTTACCACATTTTTGCAGTCTTACTCATAATCAAACATGGTTGCCTTGTCTTAAACATTTGAATGGAAAGAACTAAATACTTCTTGTAATACATTAAAAATATTTCTGGTTAACATTTCAAACAGATGTGTTTCCTAAATGTAAAATAGATCTCTGTTATTTATGCATCATTTATGGGTTATTTTGTTTTACATAGCGTTTTCTGCTTAGTATCAGAGCAGATTATAAGGTGAATGACGTGCAAATGAATAAAATTACAATAGATTAATGTAAAGTATGTGATGTCACATGGCAGTCATGTGAGAATCTGTCACAGGTGTGAACGGGTGTGAATGCATATCCATCACAATGTTTGTCAGTGACAGCCCATAAACATAGAAGAGAAATTGGATATATACGTTTTTATGTAAAGGGGAATTCCGAGGACTTAACACATTAATGTTTGGTATTTAAAAGTATGGACAAAGATGTGTCACATGTTTATCACCTCCTACTACTGTATTACAGGGGAGATATTTCAGTATGAGTGTGAAGAGTCACCTGTTATATGACGTCCAAAGATGTATAATAAAAAAAAAGGAGTGTAGGCACAAACATTGTATTGCATACCTTTGTTTGAAGACAAACTTTAAAGCCGTCCTCCAGTGGGAGCAGCGTCTGCATGAGAGAGTGACATTAGGGTCAAGTCAAATGAATTTAAACACGCGTGCATTTGAAAAACAATAGGTGTTCTTTTAAAGTGCTGAACAACAAACAAACCTTTTTAACATTCACATTCTGAATCACAACTCATAAACAACTAGTAATTATTTTAAAGATAAGTAGAAGACTTGATCTATGTACGTAAGCAGAAAAAGATTGAGAGAATGATTTTTCTCCTCTACTTACCGTTTACACAGGGAAGATGACATCTCTTCTCAGGATTACGAGTGGCAGGATGTCCTACAATTATACCAAATGGATATATAATTATACAAATAGACAGTGTATTATTGTAAATTTTAACATAAAAAAAACTAGCATTCCTGAAACAGAGGTCACATCATAATCACATAAAAAACGTCGTCCTAAAGTGTACCTTGACTGCAGACACGGTGTGTACTCATTCAATCAAATGTAACTTTTCACCTGTTTTGTTTCTGCCGTCTTTTGTTTGGCTCCGTCAAACACAGTAAAGACGGAAGTTACTGATTTTAAAAAATACTATGTTTACACTGATATGTAGCGACTACATGAACATAAACATTCTTTAAAAATGGCCGTATTAAACGTTTCAATTTAACGGTTCTCCCGCGCTTGAGTCACATGCTTGCCTTAAGTTCTCGCGTGATCTCGTCCAAGTCACGTAGTCTACCTTTTCTTGCCATTACGTCTCGCGATACCGACGACATCCACTTGTCTGTTTTCTAGGTCTACTGTTTCTTCACTACCGACGTAATAAATTTAAAAACTATTTATAAAAAACGAACGAATCCAAATAATCGCTCTAAATCGAGTTTGTTATTTCTAAATGTTTGACCATACTTTAACAACAGTAACTTTAACTGAAATGTAAATTAAACGTACTTACAAGGCCATTCCGTCACTTCAGACAATCACCACAAGGAGTCGACATTGTCTCAATTTTATATATATGGCATTTAACTGGCTAAATAATACTTTTAGTAATGGTAACGCTGCATATTTCAAGGTGGCAGCAGTAAACAAAATCGCTTTTATCTGGCTATAAATAATTATAACAATAGAAGAAAAAGAACGAGCTGCATTAATGACAACTCAATTTTACAAAAAAAAAAAAAATTTCTTAAAAGGACATGTCATCACTTTTGCAACTACAAAATAACAGTAACATTCTGTTCTCAAATTGTAGGTTTTGTTTACATATTAACATTGTTGAAAAATGAATCAAATTTTCCCAGAACCTGGAGTTTTTATTTACAGTTCAAGTCAGTCACATGCAACCCTTTTAAAACAAATAAACATTAAAATTAGCCAAAAAAAAAGAGAGAAAAAACAATGAACATTAATTCTTTCAAAAAGCAATATACAAAAATAGAGCTTACAAATACTGTACAGCAATCATCTCCAAAAATATTCTGCTGCAGAATTTTAACATTTACAAACAATGTCTGTGAAAGTCCACAAACATAATTGTGTTAACAAACTGAGGTGTGGGTTTGGAGGCTCACTAGAAAAGGTGGGTTTAAGTGTGAGTGGAGAGGGGGAGGTGGAAGGATAGGAGGGGAGGATTATTTGTTATTAGTTATTGAAGCTATAGAGAAATAAATAACACCGTATTAAACAAGAACGTTCAAAGCTGGAAGGCAGTGTTAGATCCTAACCAGTGGTGCTCTGGGAATATAACGAAACTCCTCACCTACGTACACAGGGACAATGTACTTTTCTACTTTGTCTATTAATAACTGCAGAGTTTTTGAACAATGTCTGCCTTCAAGAGCTTTGTCTGGTGTGGACAATCATTCTAATGGGTTTCTGACGCAGTTATTTATTCACCTACGAGGAACAGAAAAATTTCAATCTGATGAACTCCTGTTTTTCTTCTGACGGTGTCTAAATATAGCACCTAAGGAGTCAGAAGCAGCATTGACGTCAGAAGTGATTTGTCTGCTGGGAAGCCATTCATTCACTTATTAATGAGTGCTTCAAGGTCCATTTTTCTCGCCTGGCTCTAACGGATATTCCCAAGGTTTTCTTCTGTTTGTCTCAGACAATGAGCCGTACTCCTCCATCTATTTGTTTTGGCACTTTGTTTTAAATGGGATATTGATGGCACACAGGAGGAAAGAGAGGCAGTACAGATGAAGAGGGGCAATACTTTCACAATCAAACAACATGTAAGATTGTTGAGCGGCAGGAAGTGTGCAGCTGCCATTTAGTTTACAGGAACAAGAGTGTTTCTTGTACACCTTCTACACAACACGACAACAGAGATCCATGCCTACAATCACTGACTTCTTTTCTGTCTCTTGTAAACCGTACGTTAAGATCTGAATTTGTTAAGTAATGGTGCAGAAGATAATCATCAGTCCCAAAATGTCCTGATATGTAATTTAACAAAAGAGGTTTTGGAGGGAAACGTTCCACCAGGAACTCTAGCAGTGACATACACGGTCTGTCAAACAGTCACAGCTTTTCTATGAACACTGACTAAGAAACAGACGTGTGACAGAAGTCATCGAGTACACAACATCCTGGAAACACAGTTTACTATTATAAACCCAACCTTTCTACTGAGGAAGAGGTGAATGATGCTTCTCAGTCACATGATGATTCATGAGCATCCTGTCCAGCCCCGAGGTTGCGAGGTTTTTTCAGGAGTCGCTTTTGTTCAAACAAAGCTGATAGGGTTGTTAGAGTTTCCTTGAAATCGCTTCAGGGATGATTCAAAGCCTTTACTGTATGACCTGTTTCAGGGTGTGGAGCAAAAGTAGTGAGAAAAAAAAACATTTAACAATAAAAATCGTTTTCACAATGTTCCAATGTAACAAGTTGGTGATCAGCAGAATAAAACTGTGATCCATAACGTGGAGAAAACCATGAAGGATGTTGATCATTTGTCCATCTCTACTGGACAGTTTCAGTTTGAATGAAAAAGAAAAAATATCAGTCATATGTCACAGAGGAAAAAAGAAACCGAAAGAGAATTGTGTCTATTATGCTGAAAGAGGAAAAAAGAAACCGAAAGAGAATTATGTCTGATCTCATTGAGCTATGCAAATAAAAAAAGGTTCATGATCATAAATGAATTGACTTGTGATGACTAATGTTGACTAATGATGGATATATGGCCCGACTGCGGCAACTTTAAAACAGACACAACAGCAGTGTGTTGGAAAGGAACTCAAAGGAAAAACAGTAAAGGGTTCGATTAAATGTTTTCTCAGTCATTTTTACAATAATTCATTACATTTTAGGCCTGTTAATCAAATATGACTTTGATCAGATAAATCACACAGTAGCTGTGGATTAATTATGACTAATCACGATGAGTAATCTGTCATAATTAATTGGGGCGAAATTTGACAAAAAGTGTTATCTTCCGTTTGTTGCTGGAGCAGAAGGACAAATAGAAGCAGGAAGTTGTTTATGTTTCACCCCTGTTTATATTTATAACTAATCCAAATGGAATGGATGGGATTTTTAATAATTTAATATAAGTGTTAAGAAAAATATGTTAAAGTTTTTCTCAAATCATAAGAACATGTATCAACTATTATACATCTTTTTACGTGTGTATCAACTGTGTATTAGAGCAACAGTAGGTGAATGGATGGTGGACATGTTGAACATGCAGTACAGTGCATGTCAGTCTGCACATACGTGGATATTTTTATCAGATTCATTTTCACAGTTTAAATAACGTGATCATTTCCACAGCCGTAATTCAATCAGATGAACATTTGATTCAACTGCATTTCACTCCAGTTGTTCATTTTTGTATGTAGTGGGATTCATCTGTCGATGATGCAGGTTTGCCAATTGGATTCCATAGACAATAAGCATTGGCGACTGTCTGCAGACCAAGCAAAACTACATCAATGTTCCCTAATCCACAGAAAGAGAGACAGAAAACGGACAAATGTGGATCAAACGTGCTCTCAGTGTGTGGCAGGACAAAGGCGTCCCTGGACTGTTGGAGATACACAAAGAGTTGTATATGTTTGTGTGAATGGAAAACGCTTCTTCGCTAAAACCTGCTGACCACTGACTCTGTGACCAATCAGGTGTGGGGGGGGGCAGTGATACTCCCCACCCTCTTTCCACCACCTGCTGTGTAGAGGCCAAAACAGCACGGTTGACGCCAAATTATTTACTCATTTCATTTGCTCGCTGCAGCAGTACCAATACCTTTAAATAAATAAGAGAGAAAATAACATAATAAATACAAAAAAACAACTATCCCTGTGTTGAAGCTCAAGTAGCTGCAACAGCAAGTGTGGCATTACTCCATGTGTGAGGCATTATTCTGATGTCTAATTATTAATTGTTTTCTAGCAGTATATGTTGAACTACTTTAAATATAAAAAAAACATTCACAGAGTTTACTCCTAGAAAAATTAGCGTAGCAGCAAAATAATGGAATAATTATTCTATTTGCCTTATATTGCCTCATTAGTGCCATATTATAACTCGCCTCAAACCACCAGATTATCCACAGGAATACTGCTTAAATACCATCATAAATAGTCATTTTTCTTTTTTTTTCTTCTTTTGTTAAAGTGGTGCTGAGTCACATTTCCTAGAAAGGCAGCACCAAGAAAATAGAAATTTGAATTTGTTCACCGTGTCACCCTTTTTTTGGACACCACCAGAGTATATTTTATGAATAATAATGGTGTGATGGATGGAAAAAAAATGTAAATATGTAGGCTTCATAAAAAGTGTTAGTGTTCAAGATGTTTCACATTTACCCACACACTAGGTGGGTTTGAGGTCATTTTCTGTGCAGAATTTCCAAAGAAAAATTGAAGAAAATTTTTGACGCACTCTGCACCTGTAACAATTTTTGTCCCTTTTTTTTGACACATTTGTAAAATAAAGTCTTTCCATTTTAAAAGTGAAAACCCAAATAGTTCTGCACTACACAAAAAAAAAACAAAACAAGTTAATAATAAAATACAAAACAAAACCTTCTCCTAAGATCATAAGCAATTAAGTCTTGACTTCTTATTAAAGTGCTTATTAAAAAAAAAAAGGAAGAAATGAACAATTTGTATTTTAGTGTGTTATAGTTCTTGGCTTTTATGTTTTTCTTCATCCAGGTCTTCGGCTGGTGTTCCCAGAAAAGTGCTTTGGTTGTGAAAGTTATTTGACCATACCACGGCCAAGTTCTGATTCTTTCTCTAGATCAACTCTTGTTCATCGTCCGTGTAAAAACAACCTACGTTCACAGTTAATTATCTGTCGGAATCTGACGACAGGAAATCCCTCTGTGAACCGCTGCAGGTGACAGAGTTGGTGCTGAATGGCCGCTTGTGTTATGTGTCTCTGGACTGTACCTGTGCGGGTGAGTGTATGACTGTGACTGTGGGTGTGTGTGATCTGCTCTGTACTTGTTTTGTTTTTTTTTTACGTCTGCTACACCAGGTTCTCGATGCCGGGCAGAGGCTGCTGTGTCGGCTCTGTGGCATCTGTGCTGCTGGCCTGTTGGGCCAGCTGTAGAACAGGCATGTTGCACAGCGGACACACTTTCCTCACCTCCAACCATTTAATGAGGCACCTGGGAGGAAAAAAGTTGATATGAATATCAGAGTGGGTCGTGTTAAACTAGTTTTTTAAACTCGTTTTTCTAGCCTCATAACTGTCTCCTAGGTAAACATTTTCATTATTAAAATATAAAACTATAAAACCATTAACATAATAAGTTTAATGAATATTAATTAATGAATATTAAAAAAAATTAAATAAAAAAAAAAAAGAAGACAGAAAATATCGTGTGGTCCCCACTATCAGTGATGTTGAAGGTCCAAGGTTTAGATAAGTGAGGTTGTATACACCAGGTATTAACCAAGTTAATTCTCAAACCAGCAGACCACAAGCTGCTGGCCTTCAGTGGCCCGCAGTGAAATAGAGACAGTTTATTAGTTAAGTACAACTGCTCTTGAATTTCATTTAAATTTTTCCACTTTTAGCTGTTCCCAAAGAATGTAAGAGCAAACGATGCGTTTGTTTTATTAGGCCCCAGATTTGTCTTTTCAAATCGTCAGAGTCCTTGGAACCAGCACGAAGAGGACAACAGCTATCTCTAAGTTTGATGAGTAACTTTGGGTAAAGTGTGTTGCCCAAGAATGTAGGCCAGTAGAGCTGGGAGTCAAACCTCTGACCTTCACTTTGTAAAGCTCTGTACAGAAGTATTGCCAAGTGTGAATAAAAAGAAATGGCTAAAAGATCTTCAATAGAATTTTTAAAACATTCTAGCCTGTCGTGTGTCCACTTCTTGTTTTGCTTGTACACAAACACGTGCACTCGACTGTTAAAAGCAGTGTTTACTCAGTGAGTGGTGACCGCTCTTGTTGCACCAGTTAAAAAAAAAAAAAAAAATCTAGGTCAGGGGAGGTGTCGTGTTGATATAAACAACTCGGACGAAGTGGTCAGAGCACAGTGGGAGAAGTGGGAAGCAGCTGGCTCAAGGACCATTCTGTGGCCTGTTCACGTTCTATTTTGGTACAGCCCTTCTTACAAACAACACACACTTCACCGCACTGAGACTTTTGAATTACATAGTGGCTTTTCTTCACACAAGTAAAATCATTTAAAAGTCCCTAGAAAAACATCCACAACTTATACGTACTTCCTGTGAAAGGCGTGTTTGCATGGACAGATCCCCAGCTCGTCTTTCTGTTTGAACTCCTCCAAACAAACCGCACATATCTGAAACAAACAGAGGGGTTAGGAGGAACTGGAGAAAAATCCTTTGGTATTTGATTTGATTTTAAATTTAATCGTTGTTCTTTCAGTCACACACACCATATTTTCTCAGCATTATTTTAAAGGTAAAATAAGGATTAAAGGATGAAAAGTGTGGAGCTTTTTTTTTTTTTTTGGTTGGGACTAAACTCCAAGTAGAGATGGGTGTTTTTCTCTCCTACTGATGAACAGATGCACATTTCTGTGTTCTGTTGTCTCCATTGTCACAGTTGAAGTCCTGCGACTTTTGCCAACTTTTGACAGAGGCCCTTTGTTGCATGTCCAAGTCCTGCAACACTGCACTCTTCTATTGAAAAGACAGACTTTATTTGTGGAAATATCTTTTTCAATTATTTATCAGATCATTAAATTGTTGAAATTTGTCACGTATCTTTTCTATCGTCTACAGTTTGATTTTTTTCTGGGACATGGGGGGGGGGGCCCGAATACAGAAAAGTAAATTTACAGTGGTCTAGAAATCTTAGCCTGCATGTTTTCGGCCAGAAAACCCACGCACACATAGCGGAGAATATGCTAAGTCAGTACAGAAAGACTGAAGATTGAGCTGTAAGGCAAGAGCACTACCCACGTCTCCCACTGTATGTCCTGTACTAGAGTTCAATCATTTCTAACTTTAATCCATTTTACGCGACAGTGACCTTTAGAAGGGTCATATGAAGGTATTCCGAGGGTCAACCTCGTTCTAAATAAAGAGCCGCTCTAACTTCTCAGGTTGCAGCCTTTAACACTTACACACTGTTAACTGATCTGATACAATCAAGAGAACAAGTTGAGAACAACCTCGTTTACTCTGCGTGTGTCTGCTGTGTGTATGTAAGTGTGGCGGGGGGGAGGAAGGGGAGGGGTTAAAAACAGGGTCATCGTAGGCAGGTGGTTCTGTAGCTTTGTTTGTCTCCTCTTAGCCGTGCATAACTTCTGTCCTGTCAGGGCGATGGGGAATTCCAAACCCAGATGACAACAACCCATGATTAGCTCCTAAGCCTGAACGCACATGAAGATCTCATCGGTGACGGTTAATTTGCACAGCAGTGTCAGGAACACGGTGCTGTGGTCTGTCTGAACCATCGTTTATGTCTTCTTAACAGTCGATTGACGCTTTGCACTTTATTCGCTCTCAGTTTCTTGCAATGTTCCAACCAAGCTGAGCTGACAAACAGCACTACGTAAGAGTAACTGTAACAGATACACACACGCACGAACACACACACACACACACAGTCATAATTGCTTGGCAAAAAAGTTGTACGGCAAACAACAGCTGTCTATCTCTCTGAATAAATGTTTGAATTGTACTTAACCGGTAAATCAGCTGAGCACACAGCAGAACAGAAGTGAAGAACTAAAACTGGATCACATGAGAATAATAATGACATTGAATAAAGAAAAATGACATCGTGAGGTTACATTACAACATGTTCTGTCCTCCAGCTGCTTTGGTACTGTCTGTGCTTAAGGAAATGTTTCTTGGAATCAAACAGTGTTCAAACGATAATAGTCTGTAAGATAGGACGGGAGTACTTACTTCATGTAAGTTTAACTCTTTGACTTTTTCCTTCTGTATGACCTAAAAGAGATAATAACGAGAGACAAGGATTAGATCACAGCCTGGTAGCCAAACTGACTACTAAAGTGTAAACAAAATACACGATAAGATTCACCACACAGTCGAAAAGTACATACAATCGCAATCGTGTTTGTTTGTATGTGTGTGTGTGTGGTCGTTCTAGGAATGGTTCGATACAGCTTCTTCATGTCCGATAGTGTTACTGCAACTTGGAGTATCTGCTAATAGTGATATCAAGCTGATACCTTCTTTTCTCCTCCAGTATGCCGCGGGCTGCCGTTGCATACTGGCATGTGGTGCATTTGAGCTATAGTTGTTCTTTTGGATGTTCAATCCTGATATCAGACCGATATTGATCCTCCGTATCAGATCGAGCCATCGCTAGTGCATTTGTGTGTAACTCTCAGCAAAAAAATGATAATGATTGGTTTAATTTCATTGGGTGTTGATACCTAAAACAACTAAAAGGATCTCCAGGTCACAGAGCTTTCTTCAATGTAAGTACACCTACCTGTTTGTATGCATATAACTCCTTGTGCGCCTGGTGTCGTAACCTGGAGAAAAAGGTAAAGACAACAGACCTTTGAACTTAGTATGAGACCATTTTCAGCTGAAAACACAGAGGAGACTAAGTATCCTAAAAAAAGGGGAAAAAGGAGTGAGAGAGAGTGAGAGATGGGGAGAGGGAGAGAGATAGAGAGACTACAATCATTTATTCATGAACACATTTCAATAGCAGTGTGGCTTTACAGTACTACTAAATACATACAATTCAAGCAGAACATCATAATACCTCTGTTTATGTACAAGGTGAGAACTAAATGACCAAAGTGTTTTGGGCAGAATTCCCAGTTAAAAAGTCCAAGATATTTACGAATTATTAAAAAAAGAATTCTGAGTTAAAGCTGCCTTAAAATACTGAAGTGTAACAGCAGCAGCGTTAACCAGTGAGTCCAACACACTACAGCTTTAACAGTAAATACAGTAGGTTGTATATTAAGGGGCACTGCTGTGTAAATAACACTGAGCCTTGACCTCTTATTCAAAGAGTCAAAGTTGATATTTTACCACAAGTAAAACATCAACACAACAATGTTGACTGGTCAGACATTTAAGACACTGCAATAATTAATTAGGGCAACTGACACAGGCTTGTACAACAAAAAGAAAAACAATGGGCAAAACCAAAGTGCAAATCTCAAACTCTGCCTGGAAATCTTCAAAAACAAAAAAAAGTGTCCTTCAACAGTAAATCAACAGAAACAGGACAACTCAGTAAAACAGGGAAGAATGGACACAGAGGTGGGCTTAAGAGAAGATTCCAGGCACCGAGAACAAGACAAAAAGAGGAAGGAAATCAAGGGCAAGAAAGATAGTAGAAAATATGTAGGTTTGTAAGATTTACCTCCATTACAAGTAACCTTAACCCCTCGCAGCAGAGTGAGAGGGATCTGTAAAACAAGCAGCACAGTCTAGGGGAGAAACTGACATTTTGAAAGAGGTGAGCAGGTAAAGGTGCAGAGACTCCCAAGGTTAGGTATGTAGATTGGTAGGTATGTCTGTAGGTAGGTATGTACTGTAGATATGTAGAAAGGCGCCCAAGAGAGATCGACTCTTTGACCTTTTTGAAGGCGCATAAAGAGCCAAAACGATAAAAGATAACACATCATGCCAGAAATCAGAATTGAATTTTTTCTTATAAACTCATGCAGTGTTGATTTAAATAATTAACAGCAAAACCACAAATTTAAAATACTTCATTTGAATTCACCATTGTTAGTCTTTAGGGATGTAACAATGCATCGTGAATTGGTTAAAAACCAATACAATCGCGTGACAATTGAAGTAAAAAAAATAATCACGCATCAAGGTGTAAGGAGTAGGCAGCGTTAGCTAAAAAAAAAACATCACTGGTCATACCATGACACTATAAGTGAACAAAAAAATGGTGACTGATCTGATTTATAACTGTGCTCTATTATCTACAATATGTTAAAACCCACAAGATCTTTTGCATCCTGAGGTCGGAAGAACCCAACATTTATGAAAAAACTCTCCAAACACTCCAAAAACTCTTTATTTCCTGCTTCCACCTTCCTGCTGCACTTCGGAAGAACCCAACATTTATGAAAAAATCCAAAAACTCTTTATTTCATGCCTCCACCTTCCTGCTGCAAGTCTTCCTTGGGGCGTACCATGTGTGCATGTTTGTCTTTGCTGGAATGACACAACATGAGGTTCTCTGGCCCCACGCTTGTCCAGTGATGTGAGTTCTTAGGCTCCACTTGGTGAAGTATTTACTGGGCCTGTTCCTTTGGGAGACTGCATCTTTAATTGCCCTTCTTAGGAGCAAAGTTGCTCTTTCTTTGCCTCTAATGAACTAGAAATGTTGGCTTTAAATTTCAGAATCACGGTACTGAATCAAAGTCAAAATATATTGTTCCAGGTAAAGAAGTTGAAGCATTGATGACTTACTTACCACACGACCTGCTTGACAGGATAAGACAGGGTGGCGAGGGGTGAATTTTGGGGACTTGAATTTGATTCTTTGACACCAAGTACCATGATGGTAATAAAGTGGACAAGTAGCTGTAACTCAGCATACTACCACGCAGATTATCAGGTGACCAATTCATGCTTTACTGGTACTGCAGTATCTCCAAACTGTGCTGTTGAAACATTTCTAAAGTCCACAGTCACAAATGCCAAAAACATTCTCATTCTTGTTAAACATCAGTGCCGTAACTGCGTAAATATAGAACAAGCTAATTCAGCTAATGCAATGTAACAGTTCATGGGTACACTTAAGGACGGATACTTCATGGGACAGTGTTGACAGACATGGGTGTATTGTAACGACTGTATTTTCAGATGTATGTGAGAATTAGCAGTCAATCACTACAGTGCTAAGATAATGCAAACTTACTGTTAAGGGTGGGTGTAAATCATATGCATTGAAATTTGAATGGGCCAAGGAGCGTTCTTTATCATAAACTATTGTGATGTAATAGATCACATCTGTTTTTTTATGCCAGGTGAGATCCCCTAATAACTCACTAATGCTCCCCACCCCTGTTGTGTCGATACTTTGAAATTGAAATCATATCAAGAGGCTGTTTTAATGAATACATGTAATTAAAGCCAAATGAGCAATTTGGGAACACTCAATTGCCAAAGAACTAAGCAGTGAACTTTTGTTCCTAGATAAAATCCACTCGGCTCGAGTCCTGACAAAGAAATACACCATCTAGACTTTACCTTATTAAGTAGCAGCAGAAGAGCAGGCTGAGGATGAAGACAAAGATGGCTGTCCCAAACACCACAATGTAGATGTTAAGAGGGAGGTTCTGGAACCCTATATTTGGCATCCTGGAACTGAAGTGTGAAAAGTCGGAGCTCATGGATGTTCTGAGAAGACAAAGACAGATATATGCAATTAAACAACACAGTCATTGTTGATGGAAATTGAATCTAACGTGATGGCAACAGACAGACTGAATCCAACTGCTGTTTGAAAGAACTCATCATCGTCACAGGTCACATGATTTAAATTGAAAGACCAGGAAAACCATTTTCATTCAAGAGGATGATATTAGGCCCCTCTCATTCCCAAACTGCCAGCGATCAGGTCTGTACTACCTCACTGAGCAGTGGAAAATTTTCAGCCTGTAAAGACAGTGTCACACTGGGAGAACAGGACTCTCTGAACATTCTTCTCTGATATCCTAATGAACCACTAGCTCCACTGGCAGGCATAATTAACATCTTAATGCAGAGACACTTAAAGTGCTCAGTTGTTTGAGTTGTTTGAGTATCATATTTAACATATACCTTACATGACTGTGCACTTGTCATGTACTATGACTAATGTACTAAAAAAAACATCATGATGTTTTTTGTTTTTTTTTGGCAACCTCTGGAGTAGTTATATTGCTCCATTCATGGACTTTAACCTAACAGAATTTATCCTTAACTTACCAAGGTGAGCCCTATGTTCCAATTCATCATCCAATTCCACAGTAGAAGCCCAAAATAACATTAAAAAAGAAAAGTCTAAAAAATTGAACTTAATCAATTGTTTACTAATACATCATCATTATTGGAAATGTAACGTAAAAAAAAACAGATCTATCTATTAAGAATTTAAGGCTGAGGACAGAAAATGTGAAACACTAAAGTGACTTTTTTTCTTTAGCCACTTTTTGCTGGTTGGTTTTGTGGCGTTATTAATATTTACAGACGTCAGACATAGTGGCTGTGTGTCAGAGAGCTGCAGCATGAATGTGTCAGTGATGAGGAGGCGTGACACAGCACAGTCTGTCTGGGCAGTGAGTAACTAAGGTTTAATATTCAAGCTGTTTTCCTTTGTGCAATCAAGAGTTACTTTAATTGAGCCAATGTTAAAAAACCCTCAACCAACTCTGAACAGATAGTACATGACAAGTTAACATTTATTGATATTCACGGATTCTGTGGATATCTATAACACAGACTAGGCAACTTTTCAGGAATGCTGGTCTTATTGGTTCACTCAGATTAACTTGCCTGTGGTGCATATACCAATAAAACACGAATTATAAGCAAAATAAAAAAGTGTTAAAGATGAATTCAAACATTAATTCGACTTTTTATACTTTATACTAGCATAAAAGTGACAGTCTATGGTGATCAGCAAAACAACATACTAGTTATTGGTCTTATCTTCTAAAACAGTGTGCTGGGGCATCACTAGTATGCAGATGCAACACACTTCCAGTCAAGTAGATATCCTATGTAACTTTGGGATCTGTATGGTTTCTGTAGAACCTCTTGAGAGAGGATTAAGAGTTGGTCGGTCCAACCTGCAAGACTTATGATGTACTATTTCCCTCAATCTAATTAAGATAATATATCGCAAGTTGGATGATCTGAAACTTCCACAAAACATTTTTTTATTAATCTACAATCACTGGTAACTTTACTCAGCAATAATGAAGTCACCTACTAGCATCTAGAAAATATTGTTCATAGACATATATATATATATATATATATATATATATATATATACACATACATTTTAAAGATACAACAAATTGCAAAAAGGAAATGCTACAGCCAAACCTACTGGCTGGATAACTCTTTTGTTAAAATCACAAACCTGACCAAACCCGTCATGTTGTAAACCAGGAATACCAGTTGTTCAAGGCCTCCAAGAAAATTAAGAAAATCCGTCCTCTAGAAACTTTTCAGTGTGATCTGGTCCTTCACCATCACCATTTACTCATCGCCTTGTAGGTGGAGTCAAGCTGTAATCCATCTTCCCTCTTCATCTTAATTAAATGTGTCTAACAGAAAACCTCCTCCACTTTTCTGAATACACAAACATGAAGCACAGGAAAACACTTACCCAACACTCAAATGCCTCAGAAGTTATCTGAAACCCACGGCCAGACTTACTTGGCAGATGGCGTTGCCTTTGGCCTCGTCTCTGTACACAGCCAATAAATGTTGGCCATTTATGTGACGTTATATAATCAACGGCAGTCCTGTTAAGGTATCGTTTGAAATGCTTATGTATTGGACTACAAATACAATTAAAATCTTATTTTAAAGGTTTACAAAAAACATGTTGTGGAACTCGAAATAAGCAGTTTGTTTAGTTAAGTTAGTTTCATTTCCAAACTAACTAGTAACCCACTTTTACAACCATTTCCTCATTTCTTTTAAGGAATGCAGGTTGTGTTTTTTGAGTAATATTACATTCTTATGTATTCCCCCTAGTTTTTCTACATGAGAAAAAAAATCCTTGCACCTTAAAACTCCCACAACATGAGCTTTGTTCAGCATTTTGTTTGATCAGACTTGACATCACCACATTCATAAAGTTCTCTCTGACTCAGAAGTGGAAATTTCCACTAGTAGCCTGAGCTGGTCATGAGATTTGCACATCTGAAACTTGATCTGCCAAAGGGCAGTACAACCTCCAGGGTCTCACAGTCACAGACTCCTCCAAAAAAAGGAGGGAGCTGTTGTGAGTGCAGCATCAAATTATATACGGTCAATAAAAGTAACCTGTCAGTAAAGGGCCACAGTCATCTAAACTATTATTACACATTTATATGCATTTGGAATGGTTCTGAGTTTCTCAAAGGATTTCCCTCTTGCGTGAAAGGTCATGTTTGGCCTCCAAAAACATCATGTTGTTCAATAGATTTGTCAATAAAAACATATGCCAATTATTTCATTTCAACATTTTCACTATGTAGTTTTCTTGATGCCCTTCAAAGACACAGCTGCTGGGATCGAGTATACATGATTGGTTTTCTATTTTTCAGACATGTAAAGGTTGCGGCTCTTTAATCCTGAGTGAATACTTCTTGACAAAGCTGTAAGCAAATTATAAAAGAATGGTCTTATAACCTATTGCACATAACTCAGTGACTTACAGACCAACCGTTGATAGAATTTCTTCTGTTTGCCCTTTCACCTTGGCCATAGTTCCGCAGTGAACTCTGTGAGCAACACAGGGTGACGCAAACAAGAGGACCTGACACAAAAGCCATTGTTTCATAACGCTCTTGCTTCTGCATGCAGTGCCACATACTTCTGAAACTATTCCTGTCATTTCAAATATTAGTATCACCATGACAGGTTTTTACACTTTATATAACAAAAGTTGATAATAAAATGTATGTAAAATAATACAGTAGGACACATGTGTGCCATCCGTCTGAAACACACAGCATTGGAGGAACGGGGCTTCCAGTAAGCAGAGCACATAGTTGGATTGGCTAAAAATAAAACCTGTAGTCATGTGAGCGTTACTAAGTTTAAGAGCATGGATGAAAACAACCTGAAACTAATGCTATCAATTCTCAGTCTTATCCATTGCTGACCTGTTGTCAATGACCTGTAATAAATCAGCAAATTATCTTAAAAAAAAGAAACAAAACAGATGCCGCTGTCAAATTTAGTTAAAGTGTAAAAAAAGAAAAGAAATTATGTTCTGATAGACATCAGTGCAATACCCACAAAACAATCAATTTACTTACAAATTACTGAATCAATGTTTGACATGACTAATACAGATGATGCAGATCATTTACTGCCCTTATCAGTTTTTGACATTTCATGTAAAACCTTTTACAGCAGCAACAAGAAAAGACACTGTCGCCTCAAGGCTAAACGAGGGACACAAATCTCCAGTATTATAGCTGAGATAACTCTGTGTTTAACAACGGTTAACCTCTCGGAGGTAAGAGTCTGGCCCATTAAATGACAAAGAAGATTTTTTTTTGTTTATTATCGCTTTACAGTTCCTCTAATTTACATATTACATCTTACAACAATGCTTGGACACATTGAACAGATCCAGAGGAGCAATTTAACCGGTCTGGTAAATGAAGGAATTTTAATGAATCTTTAACCCTTCACCTTTATGTGTAAATGGTCCAAACACATAGCAAAGGGAGGAAATTCCCCACTTCTGTGCTTCAGAGATAAATCAAACCAAAACAATGCAACGGTCACTCTTACATGAACGGTCACTCTGGCACAGAGCAACAGGAGCGTGACCTATAGAAAACCTGCAACTCAGTGCCACAGAAAACTGCTGAAGTGGACAAAGGAAAAGGTCAGTGACTTTATAATTAAATTCACTGCCCACTAATAGCAAAAAAAACATAATATACAAAAAAGCTTAGTTCAGTGGGCATTGTATATGTCAGCAGACATATGCATGTATATTGCTTCTGTCCATCTGTCTTCATATACTCTTTTAGTTTCTTTGGGGCGGGGGCACAGATGCAGTCAGATCAATTTTCTGCACAAAAAACCCAACAACAAATATTTGTCTTTCATGCCATTAGATTGAAAAAAAGAAAGAAAAACACGACAGAGATTCGAGTCCCTGCTAATGAATGAACCACCGCTTAATTTCTCTGACCCATTCAATTAATGGGGGGGGGGTTGCACTTCAAACAATTCCACGTGCTTTGCTATGGTATGGTTTGCTATGGTATCCCCGTTTACTGACAGTCTTATCACAGTACTGCTGTTAACTATGTTTGGTGAGGATTAGCGTCAATACAACAGTGTCGGTCTTGACGGAAACACAGATGATGCACCAGTGGTTCCAGTCAACGATGAGCTGAGGTTCAAAACAGTTGCTGCACTCGTTCTGTGGCTGTGACTGAGAAACACTGACCACATAATGTGACAGTAAATAAAAGCATATACTCAGCTTTAAATGAACTAAAATAAACGGCACAGACACTGTGGGCCAGCACATTACTAAGCAGTTGAAGCTTTAAACCATTTGGCTTGACCAATTATTACATAAGTAAGAGATGAGATGACTGGGCGTAGCCTCGGTGGCTATGTTAACGGCTAACCGTGGCTACCAGCGACCGCGGACAGAATACTCTCTGGTCAATCTGAACCGCCTAAATAAAGACTTTAACGATTTTACCTCAGCACACAAACACTTAACGGTGCATCCGAGAAGTGGTTTTAAAATATATGGCAACTGTCGGGTCCGTGTATTGTATACAAATAACGTTTTCAAGTAGACATAGCAACATCCACTGACACCTTCATCTTTATCATTAGCGGTTGATGTTTTAAAGCAGGAAACAAATCACAGTTCACTCACCAGCTCAATAGTCCCTCAGCCCCGGTAACAGCCACGTTCTCCTGCTGTGTATTTCTTCACACACTCGTAGTGGTCCTGGTGGTGCTCGAGGGGCTTTAAAAAAAATACAGGAAATTGCCTTGTCCAGACAAACAAGAAAAGCGCCCTATCTTCACACAACCAAGCCCCTCGTGGAGGGCGACCTCATCACACAGCTCCCGCCGGTTATTTTGACGCTGGCGGCGGATGTTTGCGGTCGTCGCAGAACACTCGATCTCTGAGCTGAAGAGAAAATAGACCAAAAACACGAGCCGTGAGTTGGAAAGTGTTTTGCGGCCACGGAAGGAGGCAGACGGGGTATCCCAGAGAGGGGAGTGTTATCCTCTCCACAGACAGAGAAAAAAAAATCACACTTTTAGTTTCGTTCCTTGTCGTAAGTAAATAATTAGCAGCTACACGTTCCGCACGTATGTGTCTGCGAGCCCGCGACCACCAGCAGCTAAACCCCACCTCCTTCCAATCCAGCCCGGGTCAGAGCAGCGTCCCACAGGCCGAGGCGGTACTGAAGGACATTGTGTACGGGGAGGAGGGGAGGAAATTGATGATGATGGGAGAGAAAGACTCGCAACACTAACGTCGCCTCGTTGACTCATTAAAATGGATGTTGATGTCATAAGCAATTTCCCACGTCATTTAGGCAGTAATTGTACAGTAGAACCAAAAACGTTGGCGTTTAAATACAGAGCAACACAAATGTACCTCCAGATTATTTTTAGCAGTCAGTTCAGTACTATTTTTGGATCACCAACTACGACTTAGCTTGATAGTGATGAGATGTCCTAGAGGAGGGATTCTCAAAGTGTGGTGCGCGCACCCCCAAGCTGCCACTAGGAGATGCACGAGATAAAAAAGAATATATATATACAGTATATGATGGCGATTTGAAGTATTTTCTTAAGTGGGATTTTCCCACACTATAAACATGTGTAAATAGAATTTTCCTTTGTAAAATTTAAAATGAAAAAAGAAAAAAAAACTAACATTTTAAAGTTAAATAAAATATTATACATATATTAAATATATAGGAATGATGTATGTTACAAGTTACAAATAATGTCACCGTGGGAACCAAAATCAATATAGTTGTAGTTTTTTTAACATAGCAGATTTGTATATATTCTGTAGCTGTATATTTAATTATTATTTCAAGACAAATTACAATAAATATATATAAAATCTGTCTGCTAAAATGTCTCAACCTTTCCTGTACTGGATTGTGATTTTTTTTAAATCAAATATATAACCACAGTAAAAGTGATATGGATGGCAGTACAAGATTGATGTGATACACACACACATACACTCACACACAGACAGCGTTTCAGCACTTCCTCTGAAGAAATATGAATACCGTATCCAGGAAGTCACACTTTGGCCACCCAGTGCAGCACTTCATTTCCTTTGAAAGTGGTGGAAGAGCCCAACCATCTCCTGATGCACATCACTATAAGAGCATGTCAATGAGGTGCAAATGACAGGGCTGCATTGTAAGACTGGCAGTGCCATGTGACACTTCTGAATGGGTGGCAGGAGTCTGCCGGGGGAAGGATGGAAGCATCCACAAAGCTCCATTGAAGGATTGCAAACTAGGTAGGAGACTGGCACTGGTCCTCCTTCCCTTCCATGGGACAGCAGGAGGAGGCTGCTCCTTGGTACTGACTGAATGGAATAATTCTTTCACAACTGGGGAGCGGAGGTCTATTATCACTGTGCTACACTTCCTTCAGTCAGTTGAGGGTCATTGTGTTCACTCCTGCACATGCACAAGTGTCTAGTGTAATCTAACAAGTCGTCTCACAATGTAAAGTGTAGCCTCAGCAGACTGTTGTTTCAGCACCATTAGACTCCATGAATCTTCATGAAATATGCAAATGTGGGGTTAGCTAGCGATCGCCTCGAATCAGAAAGACGAAGACAGAACTGACATTCAAAGTTCCACTAAGAACCCTTCAGTGTTTTCTTTTTTCTTTGTACCTCGCTTTAATTCTGTAAGACTTTCATGAACACACACCTTTGATGTCTTTCTTCTGTGGATGGTTGCCTGAGCAGTTAACCATTAATGTAGTACAAGTGGTTTTGAGTGTTTTTGAAGATAAGGACATTCACTAGAGACTAGCGGACACTGGTAAGTTGAAGGTACATATAAAAAATGTATTCCTAAAATGTCTATTTTTAGAGAAGAACCATTTGCTGCAGTTTTAAAAATCTTTGTGGTACTAAGGGTTTCTTGCACAGTTTGAGGGAATCGGGGATATTGAGGAAAGAGTTCTTGGAGACAGATAACTGACTAATGAAGTGTGGATGGTTGTCATCTTGGCTATGAACATATACAGTATTTAGAATTATTTAGGTGAATCACACATAATCTGAGAGGAAAATAATGAACAAAGTATTTAATTATCAAGACTGCTGTTAAACCTTTTACATTAGTAAAACTCAAACTTCAAAATAGTGTGAATGTGTGTCAATCACTATTTTCAGGCCCATCTTTCCCAGTTAACACATGACATCACTGTATAGCTACATTTTTTTCAAACTTATTTTCAATTTTACTTCCTGCTGTAATCAATCATCATATCTATACAACTGCTCTGTTGTCGTGAATTTCCGAAGCCCTCATTACAGTTTTAGCCATTGAGTTTAGCTTATTTGTAATCTTCACATTGAACGCGTGCAGTTCTCAAACCTGCACCTAATGTTTATTTGCTGCCCTCTGGCGGTACTTACGGTTCATTGCGTCTTTGCTATGTATTTAAAATATTGCAGTCGATTTTCTTAGTATTTACCAGCGTTGGCGTCAATAAAACATACAAAGAAATCAAATAAAATGAGGCAAAAAAGGAAGCAGTTAATCATAATTTAAGTGATAAAAATGTAAAAAACAAGCTGAAACAAATTATTCAACTTCATGGAATATCTACAGCCCATTAACATTTACTCCTGTCATATGCACGCCCTTGTTCTAATATCAGCGACGGCGTTCGCCGCAATGTAGGGTTTTTACCAGAAGAGGTCAATAGTCATACATTTTCACAGCTCTTCAGTTGACCCGTGGACTTCCATAAGTTACAGGAACGAAAATCTGACATACAGACATACATTACCCAAAACTGATACAATAGAATTCTCCCTAAAAAAATAGCCGCGTTGGTTTCACTGCTTTCATTTTTGTTTTAAATTTCTCTCAATAGTCTGACTTTTAGTTCCTCTTATATATCATCATCTGTTGGAAATCAGCTGAACATCAACCTCCTCTTTCTGTCCAACAGTGACCTCAGCATGTCTTAACATGTCCAGATGTTTTCACCTCTTAGTTTCCCTCATCTGTCCTGAATCTTTACCCTGCATTGACCCCAAAGCTCTATTTCTTATCAAAGTTATTTGTATCTAAGCTGCCTTTCGGCTTTTGTGTTTTTACATTGCGGAAATTTTGGGTTACCTAACGCATCTGCTTCACATCCTGTACTGTACTGTATTTCTTCATTCACCTCATTTTCTCAAACCCATCCATCTTTCCAGGGTTATGAGAACCAGCACTCATTTTAGTCGTTTCCATGACTCCTCACTCTTCACTTATGTCTTTCATCACCATGCTTTCCAACATCTCTTGCTGGACCTGAGCGACCCTGTCTCAGTCCAATCACCTCGCTGTCATCCTTCCTCATCATATTAATCGTGTCTGCTGGCTTGATGCATTAACGAAATGTGTTCAAATGTCTCTCTTGTGCTCTCATCCCTCCCTACTGCTGTTAAAGATGACTCTCAACCCCCATCGCTAACCCTTCTGTTACCTCCAAATATCAAAATGATCATAACATTCCTAGGTAGCCTTTGTTTTTTAAATCTGTCTCTTTTATTTATTTAACCAAAAAACACCTTAAGATACAGCCTTTTTAGGGGAGACCTGACCAAGAAGGACACTACAGATTTCCCAGACTGCCCATATACAGTATGTCATGTATAAAAAACTGACTGAAACTCCCTGGGTACAAACCGTTGACATTCAACCTGGTGTGGCTAACTCTCAGTGAGTTCCACATTTCAACCTAGTTTCCCTCCATTCATCTTCATCTTTCCTCACAGTTATGTGCATTAGTATGCTCCATGTCTTTGGAGATTTTCACCCTACAAAGGTTTGCCTCCTTTGTTGACCTTGAGGACAAGACTTCAAAGCTTGCCCCCCCCGGCCCCACTCTCTCCCGGCCTTGCTTCTTTTGTCACATGACTAAGACACCTGTAATAATTTCTCACTTTGAAGATCAAAGTCGACTATACCCTGCATATGCGTGCCTCCCTTGAAGGGCAGGTAATGCAACATTTTGCATTGATATTCATTCCCCCCAAACACGACTGCTGCCAAAGTTCAAAATTGATTCTATAATAATAGCTGCGATTCTACAGTTCTCCAGTAACGGTACCTTTTGCTGTAATAAGTACCATTACTATTATACATTACCATTATTTTTTGCCTTCAAATTTCAAAGTTACTGAATTTCATTTCTTCACTTCCAGCATCTGTTGAAAAGGAAAGCAACATCCTTTCAGCCCTTGCCAGCTGCTATGCATCTCATAGATCCCGAAATTATAGTTCAGAACAAGGGTAACTAAACATTCAACATATTTGAGATAGATTTGAAATATATTGGAGTTAGTCATAGCCAGTTTTCACTGTGTGCAGGGCTCATGTAATCCCCAGGTCTGAGCTCACGTCGGCAGTTCACAGTCTGACGGACTACATTTCTCTTTTGGCTGCCACGGTTGCTATGACCATTCTGGTCCTATTTGTGTTTCTAGTAAGTATAAACAATGGAGTGTCCTTAGTTCCCTTTCTATGATGTAACATTCTGCAACAATAACCATCTTAACAGTGAGTTTACGCCTCAAAGCCATGACATGTCATTACCATATTATATAGCATTGTATTGTATCACATGGTACGGTATCATATGGTTTGATAGGGTATGGCATGGTATTGTGTCACAGTGTATTGTATGTTATTGTGCAATAATATTCTGGTTTTTTAATGGTACATGTATTTTCTCTGTGTGATTTTTCAGATGATCGAAGTTTTTGGAATTGGAAAAAGACAAATGCATAATTGTTTTTCCAAGGAACAGCTGAGGCAATTTCCAACTCACAGATTCAGCAGAGGTAGCACATCTGCACCAACACTAAAAACACAACACAAAAAAACCTAATTTTCCTACATACATAATTATTTGAGGTGAAGAGTTCGAAGTCATTTTCATTCCTAATGAAACAAAAAAACACAACACAAAAAAACCTAATTTAAGAGTTCGAAGTCATTTCTAATGAAACAGATGTTTGCATTTTAAATAGTTTTTCTTTGAGTCGATGTAACATAATAGGTTTAATTTCTATTGCTAAATATTTGTCATATTTTACAAGTATTTTCGAGTACTACATACTTACACTAATACTTAAGAAGTAACACTTGAATATAACTGAGTTAATTCGAAATCATTTGTAATGTTGTTGTTTGTTTGTTTTTAGGGGATGACTACGATCTGTGTTCAATATGTTTGGACAACTTCAAAGTAGGAAACAAGCTCCGGATTTTGCCCTGCTCCCACGGTAAACCTTCAACTTTATTACAGATTCGGTTCCATTACACTTTGTTAATGAGGACAGTGTGAATCATATTTATACTAAGGCGTCCACACGTTTTGTGTCACATTACGTAACATTACAATACGTTACGTTACATTGCGCTACGTTGAATTCGTGAGTGACATAGATGTAGTGAGTGAATTGTTTCATGAAGACGGACTTATGCCAGGCGGGTTTTACCATATGGATAAAGTTGTGTGTTTTTCATTGACTTTTCAGATGGTTATCTTGAACCTTTCTTGTTTTTTCAGCCTATCACCGCAAATGTGTGGATTTGTGGCTCACACACGCCAAGAAGACGTGTCCGTTGTGCAGACAACGCGTCTCTCTGAAAAAGGAACAAATCAAGTGCAAGTCTGAGGAGGAAAATAGAGCTTAGATAGGAAAAAAAAAACTCCTCCCGTGTACTTTATACTGATCAGTATTTTGCTTAGTTGTGTTTAAGACTATGAAAACGTGTGTGTCTAACAACGTACATTTTTTACGCTGTAATTCACAGATCTCACCGTATTATCCTGAGTATGGAGTACGGAACGTGTGAAGTCTCTGTATCCAAACAGTTAATTCTACAAACAACCCGGTAGTTTCACTTCACACGGACCACGCATGAGTTGTCATTAAAAAAAAAGAAAAGAAAAGAAAAGAAGAATTAAATACCCATTGTAAGTTAATAACGAAGTAACATTAATTGGGCGTTAGTTCTAAATAAAATATAAGTTAATGGTTAAAATGCAAATTGGTCAGCTCTTGTTAAATATACCGAGGTGTGTCTCCGTGTCCTTAACACATTTTCAACGTCTACAACTTATGTTTTCTAATATTTCTGTCATCATCGTTTCGAAAAATCTTTCAATCCTGGATGATGGAACCTTAAAAAAGAGGTTTGCTTTGTCTTGCTAACTTACATCTATGAAATAAACACCTGACAACGAAACAACCGATTTCACACTCGTGTCTTTTGAGTGACGCCATGTTTTCTTTTCTTTTCTTTTTTTAGGTATTCAGAAAACAAACAAATGAAGCTTAAATCCAGCCTCAGGTCTGTCCATTTTAATGTAAGTTTTCTCAATGTTTAACGTTTAAACTTAAACTTGAACTTATCTTTATTTGTCATTGTGACATAGCACACCATGCACAATGAAATTTAACCTCTGCATTTAACCCATCACCAAGTGAACAGTGAACAGTGGGCAGCCATGGTCGGCGCCCGGGGAGCAGTGCTTGAGGACGATGCCATGCTCAGTGCATCTCAGTGGCAACCTGGCAGTTGGTGGATTCGAACCTGGGGCCTTCCGGACCGAAGTCCGCTTCCTTTACCACTAGAGGCCACCACTGCCTCCACGTTTCACTACAGGGAAAAAACAGTACGATCACAAAATGTGTCTACTGAAGTTTTCATGCACTTTTATTTTGTACTTTTTAATCATTTTTAAGGGCATCTAGTCTGTGCTACTATCGCAGGGACACTAAGCGACAACTTATCATCCACACTTTGACTTATTTTGTGTAACGGTGTCCCATTAATTTAATATTTATTTTCAGCTGTGGGAGTGAAACTAGTGACCTCTAACGGTGACAATGGAGAACGACTCTTCTTCCGGAACGTCAGAGAAATAATCACAACCTTTTGAGCTTCCTTCTCGGGTTTTCTCAGGCTTTTTTTAAAAACTGACATTAGATAACAGGTGAGGAGAGGACAACAATGTTCTCGCTGCCACGTACGTGTTCACGGTGAGTTCTTTCAGGTTTACGGCTTTTCTGAAACACAACTAAGAAGATGTTGCACACAAACACTGACTACGATATTCTGTTCAGACCAGTAGCTGTAGTCTGTTCTGCCGTTCACGTCGAGAAAGTATTTTATGGCTCTGAGTTTATGTAATTTCACACAGTGATCGTAAGGGAAAATGTTCGACCTTAGCCTTTCTGCTTTGACCTTAAGCAGACACGGTACTAACAACACTGAATTGAGAGCACAGCTAAAATGTTCAGACACACCAAAATAGAATCCACAGCTATACACTGTATCCCTCGGGGTTCTTCAAAGTAGTGTTTTGTCATGTTCATCTGCTTTATATCATTCATTCAGGTTACTTGTTGCTGAGGAATGTTCCAGATCTTTATGAAGGCAGTTGCAGTGGGCTGACTGATGCCCCTCTTCACTGCCCCTTCTTCCTGTGCAAGCACCAACCGACCGATCAATGAAAAGCCACTTTCATGACCTCCCTGGCTGTGCAGGAGAAAGAAAAGGAGGTAGGAAAACACTGGACAATACAGTCGCCCACTGCTGTACAGAATTACAATGCCAGGACTCAGTGTTCTACTAGACCCAGAGAAACGGGGGCCTTTTTCATGAACCCACGCCGTTAAGAATCCCACACCGGAATTTCACTCTTTGCGCATCGGGCGCTAACATATTTACTTGCTCTTCACACTGCCTGGACCACAACACCTTGTCATTTCAAAGGCAAAAAGAATCATGTGATCCAGTAAATCTACAGCACTCATACTGATCTTGTGATTGCATAACGTAAACTTAAACTTATCTTTATTGGTCATTGTGACACAGCCCAGCACAGCACACCATGCACAACGAAATTTGCCCTCTGCATTTAACCCATCACCAAAGTGAACAGTGGGCAGCCATGGTCGGCGCCCGGGGAGCAGTGCTTGAGAACGATGCCATGCTCAGTGCATCTCAGTGGCAACCTGGCAGTTGGCGGATTCGAACCTGGGGTCTTCCAGACCGAAGTCCGCCTCCTTCACCACTAGGCCACCACTGCCTAGAGTACCACCAAGAGTAAAAGACTCACTGATTAGGAACAAATTGTGTGTTTTGTTGTACACTGGTATTCCGCCCCCCTCCCCTGCCCACACTTCTCCACTTAGGGTATTGGCAATGAATTTTCTTTTACAGTTATTTATAGTCTGTGTCACTTTTTAATAAATTTAGATGTAATGACTTTACAACTTTACATCTTAGAAATGCAGATCTACTGCATAAGCAATAGCATTTTTCTACCAGAGAGTTCAGTTAATGTTTGGTGCCCAGGTTTGCTGCACATGTCCAGACTAACACAGTTTGTTTATCCAGGTCATGTGGTTGCATGTTTTCCCAGCTCATTATCCAAAGCCTTGACAATGTGTAAATTTTACTGCAGGCCTAAACGTAATCAAACGTTGCCCAATGTGTTCATACTGGAGGTGTGAGATAACTCTGTGCTGATGCAATCTGTGTCAGAAACTACTCTAGTTCAAGGAGAAATTATTTTTCTACTGTAGCTTCTTAAAGAACTTTGTTTCTATCAGAGAAAATAAATACAGTGAAGATATTGCCGAGGAAAAAACTTCATTCATATTTTCGTTTATTTTGTAATGCATTTTGCTATCTCTCTGAAGTTACCATTTATCTGTGATTATCTACTATTAAATTCCTTTGTCTGACAACCTTCCTTCCCCACACAGCACAGACAGGGGAAGAGGAAGGGAGGCAACCTGCCAGTCCACTCATTATTGGCCAGAAACCAGACAAACTGTGAGGACATCTCAGAGGGACAGAGTGGGACAGAAAGCGTCCATACATAACATCCTGTTGATTTACGAGTTTGGACCTGAAGACAATACAGCCATTCAGAGCAGGTATAATAGTTAAAAGAGTGAGCCTCCGAAAAACAAAGAGGGTCATACTTCCCGGTGTATTTCCTTTTCACTATTGGCAAAAATAGACTCACCTCAGGAAGTGTCATCATTTCAAAATGTGTTCCGCTGTCACCGTTCACAATACATGAATACAGTTCAACTTTTGTTTTGTGTTATTTTTGGAGCAAAACGTGCGGAAGTGGTATCCATTCTGGAGCAAAACGTGCGGAAGTGGTATCCGTAGGTGTCGGGGATACAACATGCTAACGTGAATGGATTAACACGTGAAGGTTTGATTCAGCTTCATGCTCTCTGGAGTTGACTTTGGCTTGGTCTACATGTGACCTTTTTCATGTCACGGCTGTAAAGATAAGGAACTGATGATAACAAGCAATTAAGTGGCATGCAAATGTAACAAGCTTTAGGCTACTGCCAAACAAGTTTGAGCTCACAGGTGTGTCGGATGTAATGAGCATTACAAATATTATTCCTGGATTAGAGCCTTAACAAAACCTGAAAGCATTTTATTAAAGTTAAATTCAAATTGGGAGAAAATAACTGATGACATTGGTGTTCACCACACTCCCAAGTTTACTTTCGCCTTTTTATTTTTTCAGAAGAGTTTTCATAGGAGTAGATTTACCCTGGGCTCATATATGTACGTTTTATAAGCCTGAGTTCTCACATTTCCTGACTCAACAGAAAACAAACAATTACTAATTAAATAACTGACAAAGATTCCTATATTAAATTCCTACGTCCTTATGAATATCATATGCAGCCAAGTGTTTTTATGAAAGTCTATGGAAGCATAACTCTACAGCTGACCGAAACAAAAAAATAAATTAAAATTTAAGTCAGTATATTTGTGTTTTTTTTTCTCTCAATTTCTCTCAGTCAGTTTATGTGTGAAGAAGAGTCCACTCAGGGGGTGGGGAAAGGTTGAATAACAAGTGTGAATATTTGTGTGTGGAGGGGATCACGCAGGGGCGGGTCTTCGTCGTCATGGCTGCTCATGTATAATCAATGAAGAGGCAGCGACCACGGCGAAACTGGCTGCTTCTGGTTTCCAGGCATAAATACAAAGCGTAGCCGGTGTGAGGAGAAACCGTACAAAGGACGCGGAGCTCTTACCTACTTACGCTGGACAACAAGAGAGTCAGGTAAACAGCTAATCTGCTCTACTCAGCACATTCAACACACTCGCTGTTACAACGGAGAGACGCGCTGTTAGGAGCGTCTGAGTTCAGATTTTCTTTGGGGATGTTTACTTACAAACTCCGTTTGTTTACGTCTGAAATTACTTACAAAAAATAACCTTTTCACAAAAATTAAGCTTAACGGAATAGTTTCGATCCACTGTCGCGGAGTTTTCTTTATCGGCGTTGATGAGGTGAGGATACAGAATATTCAGTGATTTCCAAGCGGATTATTCAGATTATGTTTCACAGACACTGGCGTATTGTTTGTATCGCTTATTTATAAACGGCGAAACATATGACTGAGATGTTTTTTTCTTTTTCATCTGTTGAACTGGATTTATTGTGGTGTTTCGTGTCCACGTCACGACATGATCCCATAAATAAAGTAGCTCAGAGACGTTCGCTGCTGCCACTTCATCACAGTTTATACGTGGCAGTATAGGAATGTACTACAGCTGGGTTCACGGCATGTGGACGTTGGGACCTCAGCTGAGCCACAAAGTTCCACGTTTTCATTTAAAAACGGTCCTGAGTCTAAATGATTGGTCCATCTTTGTGTCATTTTGACTCACTGTACATTTTTCCAGAGCCACTGTTAACAGGACACAATAGAATATATGTTTATTCCAGAGTCCTTAAAGGTTATGGAAGATTGATGGACTGAGACGCTTTTTGAGTCAAGACAAATGTTTGCGTTTATTATTATTATTATAAAAGCCGGATGTACATATACTCGCATTCCCGTAAATTGTACTTTTTCTTATTTTACGATACGCTCTCAAAGACGAACGTATCGTGCATTTTATTCTAGCTCCATCATGTGCATTTAATTCAGTGTTTAAAAAAAAACTGACATACAAGAACTGAAATCATTGTCAACGTCGTCGGTCGAGTTTTATTTTGAAATCCGGATGTCGTTCTGCATACCACTCTATTCAATTCACTGTAGCCGTATAAGAACTGAAATCATTGTCAACGTCGTCGGTCGAGTTTTATTTTGAAATCCGGATGTCGTTCTGTTCTCCACTCTATTCAATTCACTGTAGCCGTAGTAAATTTACTGTATCGTGTATAACTGGGAATTAAAAATGAATGAATTAAAAAACATTAATTTAGACAAATATTACGTCGTGTTAGTGGCTAATAATGGTAATAATAGTAAACATGAGATAAATCGTGTGTATTTTTTGACCCCTTTTTCTGCTCTTGGGGCTTTAGTTAGAAATTTAATAGTAGGAATCCAATACTGCTATTGTAAGTGTACACTCACGAGAAAAAAATGAGAAAGATTAAAAAAAAAAGTCTAACAATAAAGACCAAGCCACGAAAACTGCTGCTGATACAGTTTCAACAGTAGATACAGCCACGCACACACGTATGTGTGTAATGGTACAGAAGTGTAGAATGTGTGGCCTTGTAGATCCACTGGTATCTTACTGTTACTGACACAGGTTAAGATGTACACACACACACACACACACACACCTCAAGGCTTGTATTCATCCAGAGAAGGCCACTGGCAGACCCCCCCACACCACCCCCTTCATCATACTTTGAAATTTCTAGGTCAGTGTTGGCCCCACTTCCCCACCTCCAGCCCCCTCCTTGGTCTTTGTGCACAAGCTCCACCCACACATTAATCTGCTATGGCTGTGTTACACGCAACACGGCTAGAATGCATTCTGTGGAGCCGCATAAGTGATGTCACATTTTCTGAATTTTGAAAAAAATAATTGATTAAAAATAATAATTTGGGCTATATGAAAACACATCTGTTTTATCAAGGAATCATTGGATATTAAGTTAAGGTCAGATCAAAATAATCTGCAAATTAGTAGTTTTAAAGGTGATGTAAAATTCAAAACTGAGAAACTGTGAGACGTAAGGTGTAATTGTGGTTGTGCCACTGATTCCCAGAACCATCAGCAGTGATGATGCAGCAGAGAGTCACACCTGGTCTGGCAGTCTTATGTCGATGTCACCCACACGCTCAAACCACGGACAGGCAGACTTGCATCTCTATTGTTGTGAAAACTGACCACAGTTCAGATCTGGTTTGCAAGCAGCTGTTTGTGCAACCGTGCAGAGAATAGATTGAAAAGCTTTGACTCTGGTGGGCATTAATACACGTCTTAAACATTCTGTTTGGGGATTGTGCCACATACAGACATCGAAAATAAAAAAAACCCTTTGTGAAATCAGGAACAAATCAATTCGGGTCAAAGTTACTGAGTGTGGAATAGTGGTTAAAGCAGCAGAGCAGGTCGTGAGAACTACAACAACAGAGGAACAGAAACCAGAACATTGGGCCTTTTGTTGGCTTCAGGCTTAAATTAGTAACCTCTTATTTTTATCAAAAGGCTCTGTCCTACAATTCAAACAGACAAGTGTGATTTTGTATGTTAGTCAAATTGCCTCTCTGGCCTAACTCTGGCCTACACGTGGGACGGACAAACACACGATGAGACACGTGGACAAGACACGTCGTGTGTGTGTGAACAGAAGAGATTAAAGAGATTTAATTCACATCTGTGGTGATGTTCCACGGAGACTGGGATGAAAATAAATAATAGCAGAAATAATAGAGATGTATTTATGATTTGATGACCCTCACTTTTGTCCTGCTTATATTTTGTGTATTTGACATTTTTAGTACAACACAGCAGGAGGTAACGAGGCTGGGAGTGTATTCATGCGCACGTGGCTGTGACCACGTGGACTTTCTGTTCTTGTAACAGGTGGTTGTTTCTCCACGACAAAACAAAAAGGCAGAAAACAGGCGTTAAAACTGTCGTTTGGCCACTTAAAGTTTACATTTGCTGTGGAAAAAGTGCCACAGTG